CAGCATTTGTTGAGGCATTGTGTGTTTTGTTTGCGGACAATAACAAGGCTGTGAATGGTTGTGACATGTCTAGAGGAACAGTTTCTTTTGGGTCCATTTTCGATGAAATTTGTGTCCCTGTTTAGTGGTCATGGGACGGGTTCGTATGTGTCTTCAACATGTTTCAACAGCTCACCCATTCAACTGGCAGCTCAACCGCATCGACGGGCATCGATGTTTGCGTGAAGGTTCTTGACCACCACACATGCTAGAACTAAAAGCCTGCCAACTTGAGAGATGCCCATGTTTACCGCTGACCCGAACAAAGGGTTTGAGCGCGGATCGAAAGACAGAGAGAGAGAGAGAGGTGTGGGGCTCAGAGGCGTGGAGGGCCATTTGCACTGGTTTTAAGTTGAAAAAGCATCACCAAGCCCGAAAAGGCAGAGAAGACAGAGCGAGCCATTCAACCCTACCATTCACAGTGTAGCAGAAACGCCCAAAGAGCCCGGTTCGCATGGTCATATCACCGGAAGAATAATTCAAGGCAGATTGCACTGGCAAGTCTGGTGATGTTGCTATACCTATGCGCTTTGGTGCGGGTCTGGCCCTGGAAAGCTCGTGTGCTGAACGTCGCAGACACGGCCTTGAGCGACTTGGCATGCGTAGTACGTGGATTCAACACACCTTCGTGCCCAACACACGTTTCCCCCATGCGGAGCTCAGGTGCTGGAATGCTACTGTTGGTCCGGCAAGCCAGTGCAGCGACCCTGACGGGTGATCAGTTCAATGATGTCTTTTCGGCATTGATCCTCAGCGGTATAAAATAGACAGACATGCAAGATTTGACCATGTTTGCCCATTCTTCTCCTCCAAGATGTGAATTCTGGGTTGTCCTGCGCGCTCCGAGCAAAAGGGATGAAGTTTTTCCGCGTGCCTCATGAAAGATCGAAAACATAAGACTGTTTGCAGTAAGGATTGTGGGTCTAAGGATTTGTGTCACAATGCTATCACAAACAACTCAGGTCACGAAAGCTAGCATCAGCTAGCTGGAGTTGCTCTTGCTTTAGCAAGTCAAGGGCTCGCAGCCTCGAGAATCATGAATCACGTGAAAACTTCACGTGTAGGGGGCCCCCCCCCCCCGCGGGTTCAACTCCCCCCTGGGACGCTTCCGGTACGTGCTATAATGCTATGTTTAAGGGTTCAAGGCTTCAATGATGAGCATCACGGGAAGTCAGAAACCAGGCGTATCAGATACACGTGCCTTTGAGCTTCCTTCGGCATCTCAGTGCATATGGCTGACACTTCACTCGACAAAGATGCTCAAACAAACATACATAAACCAGGTGTATCTGATACGCCTGGTTTGTGACTTCCCGTGATTCAACTGTTGGATCATCATGTATATGTAATGAGGGACTGAAGAAAAGCAACCAGTCCTGATGCACCCCTGCTAGCTTTCGTCACCTACCCTCGGCCTCAAGTGAGACATTTGCTTACACAACTAAAATATACTAAACTCACATATAATTACACAAAATCGCGGGGATGGTGAAGCAGTCCGGCAGTCCCTATAGTCGTGTTGTTTACTGATGCTATCCGATCAGTTTACCAGAGCTGCGAATGATATTACAGTATCCGGTTCTGGACACATTTCATTGGGAGACCAATTAAACATCCCACGCGATGTTGCACAAGCTACTTGTGCAGTTTGTTCCTTTGTTTGCATGGGCTGTTGGATGTTGATGCTGTGTTTTGCTGTTTATATTATATATATATACCAGCGTGAGCTCGGCGTTGTTGTTTGTTGCTCGTGAACCAATATCTGCGCGCCTCAGCTCTGCAGTTGGAGCCCTGCACGTTTGTGGTCCTGGTCGCATTTCTCCTTTTTGATCCTGCTTGCAATCTAGGCAGAGGTGAAGACCATGACCAAGCACATCCGAGAAAATCTAGGAACCAAATGAATGAATAGTGCCAGCACTTCTTCAAGGAAGCTCCCTCCGCCCTCAGGCGGGGGGAGCTTCCTTGAAGAAGGGTGAGCTATGTTATCCTGCGTCAATTAAGTATGCGCCTACTTGATTAAGTAAGGAGGCAGGGCCACGGGCTAGAAAAAGGCATTGTATCGAACCGTACAGGGCATCTACCCACCGGAGACGGGCTGCTAAGTGGTAGAGGTTTCGTGTTGGCCGAGCTCAAGAAACCGCCTTCATCGGGGTCCCAAAGGACCACCGAAAGGAGGAGCTCCTGGCTGGACCAATCCCCTTTTCATTGACCAAGGATCCTGGTTCTGGTCTCCGGCTCCGCGGTTTTCATGCTATTGATGTGCATCTTTGCTTTGCTGTTCTCCTGGCGTTATGGAGATGGAGGACAGCTGACTTCTGAAGCTGGCCGAATGTAGGTATAGTATAGCGATCTGGGAAGTTGCTCTGGAAAGGATTTGAGAACTCAATCTGCATTGACTTATGGATCTGGGCACCAAGAGCATCCGATCTTCTGAGCACAAGGTGCATCAGGTATCAAGATGGTCATTCATCTGGCATCGAAATGAAGTTTCCCGACTGGAGTTTCTTGACTGGAGGGTACAGCCCAGATCAGTCAAGAAATCCCGGAGAACAAGAAAGAAGCGTCGCATCATCCTTTCTTGTTGGACATCCAATATGCTGCCAACTGTTGTGATGATGTTAGCAACCACCGAAACCATAATGACCCATGACTTGACCCATTTACTTAAGAGCAATCATGAACTACAAAATGAAAACACTCAGTCGGTGCAGTTTTGGGATATGTTCAGATGTGTTCAGGTGTGTTGAACGTTAAACGCGTAGACAGCGTGGCCTAGCAAAACGCTCCCCTGAAAAGCGATGCTCATGTGATGTTGGCGATCTTCAATTGGACACCTGTTGACGAATCGACCCCGGCCAGGAAGGAGTGTGCTCCATTTAGGGGCCGACATCAATGCCGAGACAATGTCAAAAGCACTGATGCTTGGTGGACCCGGCTTCTATCTGTGTGACACAGATGTCACAAACGAGTGTTTTGTCCGGAAGTTCGATTGCCCACCTGCACTCTCAGACTGTGTCCAGGAAAGATTGCGCAGCAGGGCTTTTGAAGATTGAATCCGCACAGCTGAAAGAGAAGCTGGGCAAGATCAACACCTATGACTTGGAAGCTCTTCAGGCCACCATCACACTGGTATCCCTCGATTCTTGGAGAGGAACAATTGGATAAGATCGAGTCATAGGCCTATGGGTTGAGACATGGGTCGCCCATAGGTCTACTGGTTCTCCAAACCAGAGTTTGCCCCCCGTTCCTTTAGTCCATTCCGTCTTATTTTGGGGAGCCTTCGAAAACAATCCCCGATATTTAGATGGAGGTCCATCTAGACCAACAAACTTGGGGAATGCGCCATTTACTCTCCATCCACTATACACAGACAATTGATCAGGCTCCACCTTCTTCGACTCTTCATCTATCTCCAACGGCGCTTGCATTACCTTGGGTCATGGGGCCACGAGTATGTGGGGCTGGATTCCACAAGGTCTTAAGAGTCTTATGTATTAAGTAGTGTTGAGTAATGTACGTTCCAAGGGATTCAGAAATCGCTTGGCCACCACTTGAAATGTCGGTGATTAAATTGGATATGTTGCTACCTTGCCGCTCTAGCAAACGCATCATTGTGCTAGACGTGCGCTAGGGCCGGTGCTTGTCGCTGCTGCAGATCGTGTGCCTACATGTGGAGCGTGAGTAATTACACAGTAGTTAACGGCTCGACCGAACTGTGCAGATGTCACCTGTTATAGAGACATAGAGACTACAAATTGCTACACTACAGACTTGCACGTCAGATATGCATGCATTTAGTTAGCAGTATTTAGAACAGTTTGACCCTATAGACGATCCAAAGGCAAGAACGCTACTATGTTTAGAAAGGGCCTTCTCACAAGACAGCCAACATTGTCCTGAGAACGGGTTGTTGTACGCATCCATCAATTGAAAGCCTTGTACATGCATACCCATGCGCACTGCATTCCATGTATGACGCAGCATATGATGTACACACAGAGGGCCACCCATGGTATTGTATTTGTATATATGTATATATATATATATGCATGTGTGTGTGTGCGCGTGTGCTTGATGTACATATATATATACAGTAAGTGTACACAGCTTTTTGGCGGGGTACGTGGCACATTGAAAACGTGGGTTTCGTTTGTTTTGAATGTCCGGTTCGCATTCGCAGGTTCCGGGAGACCTGTTTGAACAAGTCTTGTGACCAAGTTGCGACGTTTCAACATGAATCATTCATTTCAGATCATCTGGGCGCTTGACAGCCAGTCCAGCCAGCTGGTCTTCCACTTCCATGGTGATAGATTTCAGGGAGCGTAGTGGTATGGTAGTGGTTCTTCGCGACTCAGGAGCTGATCCAAAGCCCATGGCGCTTCAACTCTCGAGTTGCCTTACAAGCCATTCGAGGCACCGTGGCATGGCGGTCTCAGCTTTGAACACCGGTTCGCTTGCGTACCGTTGCGCAGGTGAAGCACCAAGCACTGATGGTTGCCCACAAGTTTGGCTCCCAGAAACCGGCCAGTGATGACACTGGGACCATCAGCTTCGTTCAAGGGAGCACCAACTTAGCAGCTTAAGCACCTGCTTCGCGAGGAGCAGCACGTGCCAGTACAGGCACCCCCTGTGCTGAGTGTGCTGCCTGAGCAGACACAGCCCCATTGTGTGGAGCACTGAGTCGGAGTAGTTCAGAGTTGAATTGGCGCTCAGACATGTTGATCTGGAGTAGCTTCAGCTCAGAGTTGGCAAAACCAATGCTGTCCACCAAAAGAGTCCTAAATGTGTAAATAACTACTCAGTATCAGCTTCGAATTGCTCAGGCATTGTCTTCAGGCTATCCGAAACATGATCCAAACATGCCGCGTAATGTTTAAAATCGTTTTACCCGCCAACTTTCAATCACCGGCCGAGTTTGTCCACTTTGCTGCGTCCTAACATGTCGACGGCATGACGACAGCATGTCGCGTGAGGTGCCAGAGTTCAGCAACCATGAGGAGAAGTTGGTCAGCTCTGACTCTCATAAGGCGCAGGTCAGCACACACGTGGCACATCGTTTGTCGACTTCCAAACTTCGGTTGGGGAGAGTGGTGGTGTGTGGACAGGAGCCTTCATTACTGGAGTAGATTTGTGAGAGCAATTTGCCACTTGTGGCTCGGGAGATTTGGCAATTTCATGCAATTTCCTTTAGTCATGGCCGCTGAAGTCAATTTTTGCAGTGCAACATGCGACAACGACGCCTGTTTGCATGCACAAAGTTCCTTCGTGTTTCCCATGAGCGGATGGTGACCCATCGCGCGAACGGTGAAATGTAAATGTTTACCACTTGTATTTCGTGAACCCCTGAGTGAAGGCTGTGCTGTAGAATCTGATGGCCAAGCCACAGACCATCACAACCCCAGGGGTGCTGTGCCAATCCTCGAGGATGCGCAGCGCGCGATTGGGCACTTGAGCTGTTGGAAGGAGTAGATCCATATCATTCCATATATATATATCTACATAATTTTACTATACATATACATCATATACATATGTATAGATATATATAATAGATATTCAAAATGTGTTATTGTTTGTTATGGGACTCAGCCCAGACACTCCATGTCTCAATGTACGGAAGATTTTCCAGAAGTTCACCCCATAGTATTACCTTTGATGACCCATGTTCTCCCATGGTAATTCTTCCAGTCCCATGCAGGGAGCCGAATCTCGCCACTCCATACCTCAGTGGATCGGCCCAGCCTCGGTGGACTTTGGTTTGCTCTGACGGAATCTGACGATCTATTGAAATAGGGAGACCTCCCAGCCCACGAGCTTGGGAGTCTCCTTATTCAAATGCACACCCATCTAACCAAATCTTGGTGAAATTGACCGTGACATCCACTGGACCTGCGGCCTGCTGAAAGGGCTTGAAATGTTCGACCCCAAAAAGGTGCCAACTTGGCCAAAGCTAAGTGATACACTCTGTGATGAGCAACTGAGTGTTTGGGCTCTCGTTCCGTCCAACCCTCCTTCAGATGTGAGACGGTGGCCACTTGGATCAGTCAGACTGGCTTTGATATGGTTCGATTGTATTTACACACCTATTACATCAGTTGCTTGCTTTCAGCTGTCAAGGACTTTCAGACATGCTGGCATTGCACGTTGTGTTATTCAATCGAATGCTTCTTGTGCATGACAGTGCATGATTGCGTGTTTCATCGCAGCCATTTGGGCTTGCAAATGCAAGTTGGCAAATCCACCATGCGACACTTGGCGTTGGTGCTACTACTGTATTGTGGCAGAGACTTGTTCACGCCAAGCAGTGCTTTTCAGATGGCATTCCTGCGTTTGAGCGACTTGGTGATTACCTAATAGACTTCACAGTTGACTTTGCAGCATTGACCGCGGGTAAAGCATCAGATGTGTTCTGGCCCCCATGTTGGACATGATCGAGCAAGGGCAGCCCTTCGATATGTTCCATCGGAGGCTAATTGCTTGACACGTTAGTAGCCAACGATTCGCTCATGGCCAATGAATGAAACAAGAAGCATCCATGCCGTCGATGAACGAACCAAAAGAAGCACCCATGCCGCACACACACACACACACATGTTGAGAGACAGTTGCGGGATGTGCGGCTTTCTGTCAGACCTGTGGGATCCCAAAAACAGTTTTTGCATGCTTTTGCCCAGTTGCTTCATTTGGTCCCCACGGTTCGCGGCCTGGTCTGGGGATGTTTGGGGTGTGTTTTTTGGCTCCAAGTCGTGCGGAGCTGAACCCACTGACTCCGATTTTCCCTAGGGATCCAGTCGTACCTTCTCAGGTACGGTGGGTTTCACCTCATACAGCTCCACCTGGCTTCATGAGCCTTTTGTTGAATGATTGGAGGATCATGGAGGATCTAGGTGTGGCGTTTTGCACCATGTGATGTGTGTCTCCAGTTCTTAGATGGCAGTGGGTCAAAACTCGGGCACCCTGGTTGACCCCGGGTCAAGCGAACAGATTTGTCTTTTAGGAATGTCAACCTCCCATGGTTTGCTGGGTTTTCGGTGCCATGACGAAACCAGCCACATGTTCTTCTTGTGTGTTCCTTTTGGACTCCTTGTTGCTGGCTTGTTGATACTGGTAGTAATGCCCGTGTTACTAGTAGCGATGCCCTTGTTAGTAGTAATGTTCCTTTTTGCGTCGGGGCCAAAAGGCGTCAGCATGGCGTTTTCATCGTTCAGCCTTGGTTTTGTTCCTCGCTCGTGTGAGGCAGGTGGCCTGGGGGAGCTGGACGATATTGCTCTACCAGTCCATTTTGCTGAAAGTTTGGCCCTGGAAGGCTTCAGTCCTCAACTTTGCGGATACCGCTTGCAGCCACTTGGGATGACGCCATATGATGCCGTATGGGTAAAAGTGGGGAAAATCATGGACTCGTGACCCAAGAAGTAAATACAATAGAGTCTTAGGGCCATTGGAGCCATTGGTTTCTAGCATCAACTTGTTTTGTCAATTGAGTAACTGAATTTTTGGAGTTAAGATAAGATGATACAAACGCAACAAGACAACATTAGCGAATCATCAGCAAGAAACTGAGAAAGACATACTATGCAATAAGGATGCAATAAGGGTATTTGGTGCACATGCTTCTTGACAACCACCTCCACTCCGTCAATATATAAATGCTGTGTGGGGGTGGATGGTTGAGGATTGTGTATACATATATTATATGTATATACCCATTATAAATACAAATATATATATATATATATTGTATGCATTTGTATGCAACAGGCGCGAGGGATAGATCCAAATTTCGCATTCACGCCTCTATTTGATTCCAGAGATGGGCTCGTGCTTTCTGGAAGCCTTTGGGATCCACGCCTGTGCCGTTGCGCTAAGGCGTTTGCTTGCTCCTTTTGATCAACCACTCGGTGCTTTTTGTGACTTCACCTGAGACAAAGAGGGTTTCTGAGGAGTTTTCTGAGGAGTTCTCAGCAGTGATGCTTGCCCGCATTGTGAATGCGCGCGTGTGCCGTCTGATTCGAGTCCAACAACCCAGCAAAGACAAAGCGTTGCGGTTGAGTCTTGGTTCTGTGATGTTTCAGGTGAACACAGTTTGTTTGCACATTTTTTGCACGAAAAGCATCTCCCAGGAGCACCCGTTCTGTTCTATTTTCGGGGTCCTTGGAGTGCGTGAAGTGGAGTAAAGTCTGTACAGCAGCATCGCTCTTTGTGCCATCCATCCACGGCTTATCCATTCAGTGGAGTTCAGACGTTTTGTTCTGGATCCTGAGAACAGTCCTGCCGTTGCTTTTTTGGAACTCATTTGGCCAATGTTGGGTGCAGACAAATGTATGATTTCTTTTCATGCAGGTTGAAGGGGAGCAAACAACTCGGACTGAAGTCCAAAAGAAGACACAAACTAGAAGACAACACAGCAGGCAACTGAGCAGATTTCTTTTCACATGTTTTGTTTCCATGATGCCCCAAGGACCCAAAAAGCGCCTTATAAACCGTTGTTTTCCACAGTGTCCTCCTCTCCGGAACTCCCTGGGTCGCCGTCCTCTCCGGAGCTCGCCCAAGGATCACCGCGCTGCTCGCGGCCTTGCTGGCGTCCATGGGTCTTTGGTGCCTCTTGGCGCTCCTGCTGTCGCACCTGAACGCCCGCGGTGCCCGGACAGGCACCGCGCACGGAGCGAACCCGTGCAGCTGGGAGCGCTTGGGGCGTGGAGGCCGAAAGAAGTGTGAGAGACTGCCAGCTGCGAGGCGTCCATGGAGTCTCAAAGTACCACACAAGACGGGTGCAAGTACCGGTTTATGAAGGCCCCATGTCCCATTTTCGAAGGAGGGTGCAGGCTGGCGTAGTTTTTATCGCCACCTTTTGAGTCATGTGTGGCAGTAGGAGACACACGTGTGATTCGGGAATGACACATCGGGCGGTCTCGCAGAGGGACTGGGCTCCTTGGGCCTTCAGAACGCCCACTTCGAGTCTTCATGGGCCTTATTTGGAGTTCGTTGGAATCCAGCTTTATAGGGGGACTCGATCAGCACATGGACCACATGGGGTGGTTGATTTTTTGGACCCCCCTGATATCCCCTGATGAGGAGTTGACCATCCAATATCCATCCATTCTGATCAGGTGGTCGTTGAAGATCTGAGTCCGAAGTTGGTAGACCCGTTCTGCCAGGTCAGTGTTTACTCAACTTTGGCACCGGACCCGAGACCGCCATGGTTTCCCAAGCCTTGCGCCTTGGTTCCACAGCAGGTGCCGAATTGCCTGCATTTCCATCGCTCAGTTTCTGGAAGCCAAGGATAAAAAGGCCACATGTGCCACATGTATGGGGCAAGTCAGGCCCTCCAAGAGTCGGTTCAAAGACTCAATTTCAAAGACCAGGAGTTGGCTGCTGGTTGCAGAATGTTTCAGGTGTTGTCAACATGTTGTCCAAGCTAATCTGTGGGATGATCACCGATCACCCGCAGATTCAACCCACCTCACTCCAGTTGCAAACACCTAAGCGGAATGGTCCGAAAAAACATCCGCTCTCATATCTCCACCCGGGGCTCTCAGGCATTCTCAGCCCCCCAGATACCCTCAGGCCCCCGGAGGCCTAAGCACTGAGCTCGCTGAGGAGGGATCCAAAGAACTCTTGGAGATTGAAGCTTTGCAACTTGAAGAGAGCCTCATGGAGTTGAACACTTGCGACTTGGGAGCTCTCATCCGGACCATCACTTTGATTTCTATGGCCTCTTGCCTGATGTCAAGGGGAAAGGACAGGAAACCGCTTTTCAGGTTGCAACGTGATGTGTTGTACTTCTTCATGGACACAAGAACAGCACCACCAAAGGAGTCACTTCCCACTACTCAAGCTTCAGGCTACTTCGCTCCTAGCATGCAGTATGACAAGCCCTCGAAAGTCAAGAGGACGTTCTTCCAATCATCATTTTTGCCAAAGTAAATTCTTCGACTTGAGGGAGAGGACCGAGTTAAATCAAGTTAGTATCAACAAAAGGGCCACGTCTCACGGCGAGGCGTCGTGCCCGATGACCAAGTAGCCTACAATGGGTAGAAAGTTAGTGACTCTCCCAAAGGGCGAAATCTCGCCTCCATCACCATCCAAGAATCAGGGGCATGGGAGGGGTTCCATGACCTCGGGAATTCCACATGAGTGGCCAAGAAAAAACACACGATGCGCATATGTAGTGGGTGATCCCAGCATTGACTCACATGAAAAATCACATTGAATTGTTACTGATTTACTGCAAATTATGACCCCCCGCCCAGTACAAGCACGGCTGCCAGGTATGGGGGGACGCACCGGGGCATCCGGCAGGGCTTGGTGGTGGTCCACTTCGATGATTGCTGGATGGAGGGTATAGTCGGAAGCTATGCCTGCCTATATATAACTACCATACCTGCACATGAGTTTCGCGAACCATTACGATCCGGTTAGATCCAGGTCAGCCAGCCATAGATGAAAGGTAATTACTCTCCTGTGTCCCTACTTAGGTCAAGCACATGTATGCTGCAGACTCCAGTGAGTCTTTGCGAATTCTCCGACCTAGGAGGAGTGCATCCTCCTCCCCCCCAAAAAGAACTTCGGCTGCCGAACATCTGCCGAAACCGCTGCCGTGTTCCCGGCCTTCTCACCCCCGTTCGAAGCATCGAATCGAGAAGAACCGATCTAGCTCAGCTCCACCGAGGAGGTTCTTCCGTGCTTTGAGCGCAACTTCAATTCCCGCGTGGCCTTCAACTCACTAAGTGGAAAATATTCGAGCCTCGCAAAACGGGTGGATTCGTGGCCAGACCCATGGCCGGGCGCAAGTCTCATGTATGGGGGTGTATGAGAATAGGCAGACCCATGGAACATCATGGAACCAATGGATTTTAGGTGATGTTCCTTTTACCGAAAACTCAATACACTCCCGAAAACTAACATGGACCCTGAAAATGGATCTTTGGAAGACTAGTTTCCTCCACAAACCAGTGGTTTTCAGGGTCCATGTTAGTTTTCCACAGTCTATCAATGATAGATCAATGATAGGTGTTTTTGTCACTGATCAAAGACCAAGTAGGCGTGAGCCCAGCACCGAACCCTTGATGCTCTCCAAACAGGAAAGTGCCTAGAGACTGCTTTCCTTTAAGAATTCTTTGCAGCACATGGCTGCTTCTACTTGGAAAGGACTACCCGAGACTCGATAGTGGAACCCTATAGCACAAATCTATACAAATCTTATATATGTACACACTGTATTATATTATACGGTTTCTATATATATATAAATCATGTTACATCTACTGTAAGTATAATCTACATAGTAGGGGTTGTTCGTTTAGTGACTTTGCTACCCGGATCGAGTGCGAGTGTGGGGTGTCACGTCCGAAGGATAGCTCGCATTCGCTTCACATCAAGGTGGTATGCTTCATCCCACGCACCAGGACAACTAAAGAATAAAACACACATAACAAAACACAATACATGCAAAAGCGCAAACACTATTTGAGACCAGGCTTCACTTAGCCCCTACATCAGGAAACCCTTTTTGACCCCTTATCAACGTTTTTGGGTTGACCGCGGCCTTTAACAGAGTGACCTGCGGCACACCTTAGGCCAGGTCCGATCAAACTCTTCTTCGGGGTCCATGCTACCCTCCTGCAGATTAAAATGGACTCTCAAAACCAGTTGGCTTGTAGAGGATGTCATGGTCTTCCACGGGGTGATTTTCAGTGCACATGTTAGTCCGCAGGTAAGTCGAACTGAGTGTCGAACTGGGCCCCAAGGATCCCCCCAAGTTCCACCGACCAGAGAGCAACGGAATGCGCTCGGAGCCACAAGGTTGACCCTGCAGACAATCATGAAAGCTGAGCAGACCAGGTCTTTTGTAGAAGGCCTTCCAGGCTGCAGATCCACTTCCATGACTGTAGTGCAGTTTAGATTGATTGGACCTATAGGAACTCCGGAAGCACCCAGTCCAACCAACTCCCCTCCCTCTCCCGGCGCCCGAGCTCACGAGGGAGCACGGAGCCGTCGGGGAGCATGAAGCAGCGGTGCTGCAGGCGCGATCGATGGAGCGTGCGATGGCGCGGGCGCGAGCGGGTCCGATCGAGGGTCGCGTTGTTCGCATAGAGTGCCAACCAGAGGTTCGATGGCACAAGTTGCCCTGAGGGCTTGGTGGTTTAGTGGAACCCCCATCTATAGAGGACATCTTGGGGTCTTTGCCATTCTACTCAGAAACCATTGTCTATGTTCACCTGGCTTAAGCACGAAGCGAGGTTTGGCCTACGATGATTGTAGATCGATGTGTTTTTCCCCTGAGGTCAGATACGGATGAGAGGACTTGTGAGGATTTTGCGAGCAAGACATAGCAAGACGACTTGTTTCTTGCAATGCTTTTTTTGTTTCTTTTAAGTCTCTCTCTCTCTCGCTCTGTGCATTTTTATATCAATAGTATTATAAATATAAATATATATATATATACGTGTGTGTATGTGCGTAATCACTATGGTTGCGTCCTTTGCATGCGAAGATCGGGTTCTTTCACCCAGATACGTTTGTTGAAATGCTTTGCCTGAAGTCCTTCCGGCCTGGTGTTCTGTGGCGATGCCGGCGACCAAAGGCTGCTTTGATCCCAGGTTCAAAGGGAGAATCGACTGTTTGATCCCACAATATGACTTTCGGGGTGAAAGCCATGGTTTCTTGCAAAGGTCCCTTAAACCAATCAATTGATTGAAACGCTTAAATCAACCGTCTCTTCAGGATGTGGGACGGCAGACAGCACCATGGTAACATTGGCCGAATCACTCACCTCAAGGCAGACTGTAGCTCACCGCAGCCTATGGCTAATCTCACGGAGAGACAGGGAGATGCGGAGATGAAAGAACTCCGTAAGTAAATCAATCATGCCCTAGAGGCCCTGGAGGTCCAGTCAAGTAAAACCTGGCGATGAAAGCTTCATTCATAGTGTTTTTGTATGACCAACTCCAGTCAAATGAGGTTCTGTATACTAGGTTCTTTTCCCACCCGACTTTTGCGCTCCAGGAGCAGAGGCAAATCCCAGCAGACCTTCAGGTCGGGTCGGTCGCGCAGTTGGTGGTTTCGGAGGGTTTTATTCTTAACCTGTACTTGGGCACTTGGGATGATTCAATCCACTGACTCATACTTTTCAAGCGAGTTGAAGCCACCAACCAGAAATGGCTTCAAACATTTGGCGGAACATGCTGGAACTACGACAACTCCGGCACGTCGCAAGTGAACCGGGTTTGATATACAGATCCTGAAAACCAGTCAAAAGTCTTTGGAATCGTTCAGGTTGGTTTAGACTGGTCAAGTTTAGAAGTACACTCCCCTGGGATCACCATGGAAGTGGATCACCACCCGTTTGTAGAGGACAGTTGTGATCCAAGAGGTGATTGTTCCACTTCCGTGAGATGTCCAGGTGATTTTCCGTGTTGAACATATGTTTACTGCACATGAACAGTTGTAGAATCGTCAGATATTCTCTTGCATACTGTACGCATCTCAGGGTACAGAGGTGTCGCGAGGTGCCACCAAAGCCACCAACTCTTGTGGTTTCAGGTAGCAGGTTGAGATCGTGACAATGGGTAAAGATGCTATATGTTCCATACTTTGTGTTTGGGACTGCTATGATTGCGCGGTTCTTTCGTGTTCGATCTTGAAACAACCTCAGCTGGTTGAAGAGGCCGTGCTTTGGAAGATGGTTCAGCTTTGGAAGATTTGATGTAAGGGACTGAAACATGGAAGCCGTCAATGTCTCATATTTCAATGGTGTAAGTAAACTGTCCAGCTATGCCAGTGTCGCTACACACATATAATTATAATATATATATATATATTCCCTGCCGGCTCAAGGCCATTTTCAGCATCAAGGCCAGGACCTACCGGGTCCCTAGGCCATCCAGCAGGGCACGGACACCTTGAGTCTGCCGAGCTCTCGGGCCAGATCGCAGAGGGTGCCGTGATCCCAATGCGCCGGCACTATAAAGTGTGCGGCCACTGCAGGTGCAGTTGGATTTGGGAAGATAGGCTGTTGAGTCAGCCTAATCTCACATGCAATCAATGCGGAGAGGCATGGCAGAAAAAGCAGGTTCCGGACCTCAGACAGAACCGCAGAGTGACCTGGGCCTCATGGAATTTCCAGGGTGATGGGCATAGATGGCCAAGGAAGTCTTTCAAAGATGCCTTGTTGGAACCTCCACCGGGACTCCACGGTGGACAAAAGAGCCGCAAGGCAAAGAAGGCTAAAGATCCAGCCCTCCAGAAGGCCCTCAAAGATCACTGGGACCAGCTGCCGGATGCATTCAAAGAGAAATGCACTTCCTTAGGGGTGCAGGTGACAGCTCCACCTAGCACGCCTGACTTACCCACATTGATCAAAGAGCACCTCCAGAGCTTACCCACTGAGTTGAAGGAGGCGGTGGAGAAACTGGTTACACCAGATCCACCGGAACCACCTTTGGCATCCAAAGTCAAGCAAGCGGTGGGCACATTGAAGCAGCTAACAGAGAAGAAAGCAAGCCTGCAGACCAAGGCAGACGCAGTTAAAGCTCAATATACTCAGCTCTTGCAAGACCTCAAGGAACTGCAAGGCAAGATTGAGACGGCACAGAAAGAGTTGCAGAGCACAACGACTCAGTACAATCAGCAACTCGAAAAGCAAAAACAAGAAGATGCTGAAGACATGGCAGATGAACTTTCGCCTGAAGCATTAGTCACTGCAATGGCCAGTGTTGGGCTTCAGGCTACATCAGCCCAGGTGAAAGACCTGGCCGTGAAGCTTGTTGAAAGCGCGGCAAAAAGAAGGAAGTGTTGGTAACAGCAGGTTACTCCGACGGGCTGATGAAAGGGGTGACACAACCTTGCAACAAACATCCAGGGGCCATAGTGATGTGAGCATGCAAGGATGTGCTAGTTTTGGCTCAGGCGATGGAGGGTTTTCCTTTGACGGGCCTGAGATGGGGAGTTCAGCCGACCAGCGGCTGACCAGTCAGGAAGGGAGTGCGCCTTTTCCTGGCTTCACAGGAGGAGCTGGCGACATGGATGACATCATGGACTCCAGCAGTGACATAGACATGCAGGTTGAAAGAAATGCACCAAGGAGTGGTCCGATGTGGCCGCTTGACTACGTGGCCCAAAGTCTGCAATGCAGGCTTGGCAATCCAAACAACCGATGCTTCGCGAATGCAGCCTTCCGCTTATGGTCATGGGCGGGGGCTTTCATGGAAGGACCAAAACTGTGGAGCAAAACAACCACAGCAGTTCTGGAGGCACTCAAGGCTGATGAGGTGGTCCACCTGCCAAAGCTGCCAGGGCTGGAAGTTTTGTGGGAGAAATTTGATGACAACAAACAAGATGATGCATCTCATTTTCTGCAAGAATTGGTGGCGATTGCGGAAACGGATCATGTAATTCAGAGCTACCACCAGGTTGACTACAGACAGGAGGTACAGCAGCACAAAGCTTTCCCGGTCCATCTGCTGTTCCATGCCTCCCAAGGACCGGGGGACCTGGAACACCTGATAGCTGAATGGGCGAACACAGCAGAGGGCCAGGTGTTTGATGGGCAAGGATTGTGGGTGGCACAGATTGGGCGCTATGAACAAGTTCAGGGAACATGGACAAAGCACCACCGTGCGTTGCAAGTGCCCTCGATTTTCAATTTGCCGGTCACCTTGGATGGAGAAGAAACTAGAACGCTGCAATACTCCCTGATCGGTTTCCTGTGCCATTCAGGCACAGCACACCAGGAGGGGCATTTCTTTGCTGTTTTCATCTACAGAGGTTTGTACTGGCTTGTTGATGATGGTGCATACCCCAGACCTTTTCAACATTTGTCAGAGACGACCCAACAACAGATAGTGCAGGTTTGGGCCATTCCCTCAAGACGACTGCTACCGGCCCACATTGAGTGTGATGTGACACCAGGGCGTCAGCGACCCATGGTGCCGGAACAGGCTGCGAAGAGGCAGTGTACTGAGGGCATCCAGTTTGATTTTGCCAACATCACGCAACTTGGGAAAGCAGTGAGACAATGGATCATCACTCGCCCCAGGAAGCCTCTGTTCATGGTGGAAACTCACCTGGGTGCAGCGGATTTTGAGAAAACACAGCAATGGCTAGTCACACGTGGACTCAACATGCTAGGTGAACCAGCAGCTGAGACTGTCAAGGGAGGCACCAACGGGGGTTTCATGATGGTCTACCCACCGAATCAACATTTCCATTTTGTCCAGAAGCAGGTCATTGACGGATGTGGGTGGTATGGTGTTTCCTGGACTTTTGGCAATAGCGAATTGATTTTGGTGATGAGTTATTTCAAATGTGGCGAAGGCATGCAAGGCCCATGCAACAGCAGGTTGTGGGCTGGTTTACTGGCCTTTGTGACGAGTCTGCAACGGCCGGTGATCGTGTTCGGTGATTTCAACATTCCGCCGGAAGTTTTCATGACCACCACCATGGCACAGGTCATGCATGTACAAATTCTGGCAACAGGGCAGGAGACATGCAACACTGGCAATGAGCTGGATTGGGCATTTGTCTCCACACAGTTGATAGCAGACATGACGGTTCAGACGGATTGGATGGTGCCTTTCAAACCTCATGCCATGCTCCGCTTCCAACTGGCTGGTCATTTTGAGGACGTGGTAGTGCGACAACTCTCCAAATATGGGCCAGCGCCCAAACTCAGCAAGCCAGCAAAAGAATGGCACCACTTTGAAACCAGACAGGTCAAAGTCAACTGGCTGAACAAGGAGACGGACAACCTCACTTCCCAGACTGGCAGCCTGTATGACCGCATTGAAAGATTTGTGCTTCAACAGCTGGACAAACCCACTACTGGGAGAGGCACCACTCTCCAGTACGTTCATCGACCAATTGCTGACCCCAGCAAGCCGTGGATATGGAGGAAAGGCAGCTTGGCCTTTTGGGGTCAGATTGAAATCCGGCTGCAAAGGTTGCTGCATCAGTCTCAGCGTGAACCTCGGCACCAGACAGGCTTACAAAAGCTAGGCTGGCACATTGATGAGAATTGGCACCCGGATGCCCCGGTTACTTGTGAAGGCTACAAGATGTTGTTTGAAATGCTATGGCACCAGCATGGCGACGAGCACATTCATGTCCTTTTGAACTACACCACCAGACAAAGGGAACTGCATCAACAAGAGAGTTTTCAACAAGAGACCGAAGAATACAGGCAATGGCTGACCCAGGCCACACAGAAGGGATGCCGCGGATTGTACCGCACACTCAAGAAGGACGAGCTGCCATACATGAGGCCTTTCCAAGACCAGCCACGGAGTGAGCGCATGGCAAAGAGAGTTCAACAGTGGGGGGACATCTGGCAAACCCAGGATCAACCGGTCCTCATTGCTAGCATGGAGCAGATGATCCAGAGAGGCCAAGCTGCTGCTCAGCAGCTCCCTCCGCTGACTGAGGCACAGATTTGGTATACCATCAAGCAGTTGGCTCTCAAGGCACCAGGTTTGGACGGCATTGGCTTTGACTTTCTCAAAGCTTTGCCTTTCAGTGCAATGGCAGATTTGAAAGAGCTCTTTCATCAGATCGAGGCAGCGGCCATGATACCCAGCCAATGGGGGACCTCGTTGATAGCTCTTCTGCCCAAGTCTCAAGTCATTGAGCGCCCCATTGCATTGGTTGCCACTCTCTACAGGCTATGGTGCCGTTTGAGAAACGGGCAGACCAAGCTGTGGGCCCAGCACATACAGGACGAATATCCTTGGGAAAGGGCCGTGCCAGGGACAGAATGTTTGCAGGTAGCTCTGAAGAGAGCCTTCATGACGGAGCATCATCAAGCACACCGAAGAACTGTTGTCTCTGTCCTTTTGGACCTATCCAATTTCTACGACCGCATCAATCTGCAAAAGCTGGCAAACCGCTGGCTGGATTCCTCGTATCCAGCCACCCATGCGGCCCTGGCCATGCAAGTGTATGCAGGCAGCAGGATCTTGGAAGCAGAAGGAGAAGCGTCCGAGCCGCTATGGGCAAGCCATGGCATTCTGGCAGGTGATCCGCAAGCACCTTTGGCAGCTAAGGTCTATTTGCAAAGAGCCCTCCGTGAGTTCAGCAGACGTTTTCCACAACTGCACACGGACTTATGGATTGATGACTTGAGTTTTGATGTTGTTGACAAGGATCCTTACAATGCTGCAAGAATCGCGATACAGGCATATGAATTTGTCAAAACAGAACTTGAGAAGGACAATTTGAAGGTCTCGGCCCAAAAGACAGGATTCATTGTGTCCAATGCCGCCGTCAAAAAGATCCTCCAAGAACAGCTTCCCAAGGGAGGCCCAAGAGTACATGATGTGATGCGTGATCTTGGAGTGGATTGCACGGCTGGCCGTTTGAGAAGGATTCAAACTATGCGAGCTAGACGCACCAAAGCGGCCAGAAAGACCCGCAAGCTGATGACATTGAAGATTCCTGAACGAGCCATCCGCCTCAAATTGTACAAGGGCAGCATAGTAGCTGGCATTAGCTGGGGCCATGATGCAATGGGTATTGCTCCCCAGGTTCGCCGGCGTTTTCGTGCAACAATGGGCCGGCAGATGGGTTTGCAAAAGACGGGGAACATTGACATCCTCTTTGATATGCAGAAACAGCACAGAGATCCTGACTATGGTGCCTTTGAGGATCAGGTGCGGCTGTACCGCCGGTTTTTCGGAAACTGGCCAGAGCACCTTGCCAGAGATCTGGAGAAAGCCTGGAATTTTCAGAAAGAAAAACTTCGGGCGGCAAAGCATCCATGGCAGCATGCCAAAGGTCCTGTGGCTGCATTGCAATGTTATTTGATGGAGCATGGGTGGCAATGCGACCGGTACGATGAGTGGACCAAGCCCGGACACAACGGGGAACCGGAATGCCGGTTGAATATGCATGCAGACTGGTTTTTTCTGAAGCAAGAGTTGGCCAGGGCAAAAAAGTGGGAAACTGTCATGAAAGTGAGCCAACGCACTTTCCTTCAGGAAGTGCAGCAGCCATTGGATTGGCTGCCTTGGAGAAGAATGAGCAGACAGTTGAGCAAACCCCAAAACACAGCGCTGCAAACGTGGCATCAAGGTGCCATTTTCACACGCAGTGCAGATGGGCAGGAGGGCAAACATTTGATGTGCCCTCATTGTCACACAGAGGCCACCCCGATTCACCTCCTCTGGTTGTGCCCACAGACGCAAAAGCAGTTTGCACCGCTGGATCAGCTTGACAAGCAAGAGATCGAGCACGGCATCAACCTTGAGTTTTGGGCCCAAGGCCTATTGCAGCTGCCCCAATATGAGATATCAACCGGCGGTGCGGCCGTCCAGACTTGGGGCTCATGGACGATCAATGATGAAGTTCGGCTTGGAGACCATGACATGGTGACCATTGGCATAGCCCCAACGAGCAATGACCCGCGACTCAAACATTTTGTTGTTGCCTTGGTTCACCATACTCATTTGAATGGTGACCTTTTTCGGAAAGGAGCTGTCACTACAGTGTTGCCCGGAAAACAGTCGATTGAAAGAGCCTGGTTCTACGGGCTAAGGCTCATAGCCCACTATCTGGATTTGTCCAAGAAGGTGGTGGTGCAGGTTCTTTCGGTTCGAGCATGGGAGGCCTGGGTGAAGGGTCGCCACGCGGAGACCTTTTTCGATCTCAACAACCTAGTGACTGCAGATCAAAGACAGCGAATACAACCTTTGAGTTTGACGCTCAAGCAGGTCAACGAGATGCCCAAAGGTGTGTACACGGTCCGAGCCAGGCTGAGAGACGCCACCAAGGCGGCAAAAGAAGTGGCCATGTCGCTCCGACCTCACCACCTAGAAGAAGAGCTGCACCTCACTGACCAGCGCTACCAGAAGATAGCACCGTTGGCTATCAAGCGCATCAGATACTTGCTGGAGACTAAGGATCATTTCCTTCACCAGACAAGAGAAGCAGGAAAGACCAGAAGGGAACAGACAAGAGCCAAGAAGACCCAACTTTTCCTTGACCTGGGCAATCACCATACCGAGTATGGCCACAGCTGGGAGAAAAAGGGCATTGGGCTGCAATGCACCAAATGCAAGGTGCGCATCACAAAGCATTGCACAGTTGAAGACCTTGAGAAGGCAAAAACCGAGACTTGTTCAGGTGCAGCAAAAGTCGATTTGGTTGGTGGGAAATCCCCTGAAGTTTCAACCAAAGAAGACCTCATCCATCAGATGGTGGCTGGCGAGCTCCCGCAGATGGAGAGTCACAAGTTTGAAGTCCAGAAGCACTACATTGTTTGCACGGCATGTAAGGGACGCATTTTGCGCAACTCTGCCCGTGAGAAACTTTTGGCCTTGGCCGAGGGCCCTTGTTGGAACAAGCCATGGCCGATTCCAAGTGGCTGGCTTGGCCACACCAGCCACAAAATGTGGCGCCAAGGGGGCAAAGTGTACTGCACGCAGTGCAAGGCCCATGCAACGAATCGAGCGGATTCGTACCAAGCCAGCAAAGGATTGCGACAAGCATGCGGCGAGCAGGCCACGCAAACCACGCTGCCGAGCTGTTTCAAGACCAAAAAGGTCTAGGGACCGGAGAGCTTAGGAAAAGAGACGAAGAAAAAAAAATATATTCCCTGTCGGTGGCTCTATGTTTGCAGCTCCGAGGACTCATCGGCGGCAGCTGAGTTATATCGCGCCAGATCTCCGAGTGGTGATGATCCCATACGATGCGAGTCATATTGACTGCTGGAGATGCCACATGTCTACCCCACTTGTGGGAATCCACCTGCACCTGGTAGGAAGTAAGACTCAGTAAGTAGATAGCATAGCATAACAATCGTAGGTGCGTAATCCATGTGCAGCTGCCCTACATTGTCACATTGTTTCACTCCTTGGAGAGGGCTCACCGACCCCAATTTGGCATCATGACAGACAGAACATGTTTATACATACACCAGTGTGGCACATGGATATGCTGATATGCTGTATAAATCTAATAATAACAGATACTGACAGATACTATATATATATACCCTTGAGAGCTGAACCACCGTAATGTAGGTAAATATGCCATACGTCTCTTTTTCCCTCACAACTCAATCTATGGAGTGAGGTCTTCTGTGGAGACCACAGCAAGGGGCAAACGACCCAAAAACTACCAACTCCCCTTTTATTGTTCAACTGGCAAACGCTTATAGGCTTATAGACATGCTTAGACGCTATATGGCGAAATATTTCAACACAATGAAACAAGATCCAAAAGGTGCGTTGGCTGAGTTCCTTTCGTCTCCATCGCTTTCATTGATGTTCGTCCGGCCGCGCTCGGTCACCGGTTCGGCTCGGTTTCGCCCCCGTCGTTCGGACCGCGCTAACGTGTTCGGTCGGACCGGTCGGACCGGTCGGAAAAGACAGTGATGGCTTAAGGATGTTTGCTCAGTGATGAAGCTCAAGAGCAGGTGGAAAAGGGTTATATAACCTTTAAAGATGTTCCAACGTCCGGACTTGAGAGGCTTCAGAAACAACACAGAGCGTCCGTGTGGACCCGGCTCTGTGTGAAAAAACATCGCAGCGGCTGCGGTGCACCTTTTGGAGATCAATGGCGCGTATCCAAAACACTCCTGGAGTACCTCATTGACCCCTTTTCAACCACCCCAATGTATGCAAATTTGGCAGTCCCATGGAGTGTTTAGGACATGTACCCTCCACCATGAGTGCTCTATTGTGGTGCTGATGGTGAACAGCTCTTTGCAATCACATCCCTCTTACGATGTACGTGCTTGTTGCTTCTCCAGCAGCTTGGGTGCGGCAAGAAGTGTCGACCTTGGAACAGCAAAGGTCCCGACGGATGTCGCACAAGGGGGAAATCTTCAAGGGAATTCCCCTGGTTCGTCCAAACACATGCATCAATCAAGGCTATGTCTATGTTTTAGGACCCTCCCCACCGAATAAGAGCGGGTACGCTGCTCGCGGGCAAGTGAACCTCCGAAGCGCACCTGAGTTGGAAACGCACTTGGTGGTTCAGGGGCAGGGTCCAATTCTTATGCAGAACTCCCAGTGAAAATATGCGAAGTCTCCATGTGCCTGGCCGGTCTTCTTGCCATATTCTTTGAAACGACACAATTCACCGACAATCAACTGAGGTGAACACCCCGCAGGTGACAACCCCTCAATTAAAGTTAAGGTTAAATATTATATATTGTATATTCTGTTTATATATATATATATATTATCTACAGGATATGAAGTTATATATGATTATATATGCATAATCTATGCTACACTCAAAGCAAGAGTTCCAAGGCCGCTCCAATGCCTACCCCTTTAAAACCACTGGGTTGAACGGATGTAGCCACCCACCAGCACCACGAAAGAGTTTGTTTTTAATAAGAAGAGTTAAAAAGCAACACACCTCACCTCGGCCTCACAAAACTAATGCATGTTCCTTCTATGCAGCTGGAATTATTTGGTTGAATCTTGGGTGTCTATCATTTAGGGTTCTAACTCCAGCGAGCTCCTTGGAGACCGGACAATGGAGCTGGGCGCAATGGAGCTACTCCACAATGACTGAAGCATTGGCAGTATTGGTCAATAGAGTTTGTTGAGGTTGCTCGTCAGAGACCAGTAGAATAGGTCAACCTCACTTGACTCACTCCAACACTTGACTCACTTGTCAGACTTTACCTCAACTGGGGGTCGCGGATGGGCTCTTTTTAAGAGCCTCCTCTCTGAGAGAGCGAGATGCCGCCGGAGAAAAGGTGTTTGAAAGCCGAAGCCCTTGAGATTGGGAGAGAGATTCTGTGCTGGGCCAAGGTTTTTCATCTATGGTGGATTGAGAGTAGATGGTACAATCTCCAAAAGGTTGCTTGGTGCCAGTGCCATCTACTCTCCATCCTTTGTACTGCAGCTAGTACAGGTCTTTATGTTCTTCGGTTTCAGGACTTAGCCGCAAAGTTACGAACTGGAGGCGTTCACTGTCTCTCACGTGAATCCTCCACAGGACCCAGCCACGTTCGCAGCCGGACGTGCTTTGCTGGGGTCGTCCGGACGCCCGGAGGGCGCAGGAGCGCGAGGGGCTGCAAGGGAAGACCTGAAATGAAGTGGTTCAATTGTTTTTCTTAATTTGTGTATATTTCTTTATTGATTTCTTTATTTGTTTTGTTCTTTGTTGTTGTTGTTTTTGTTTTTTCTTTATTTCTTTATTTGGTTCTTTCTTTATTTCCTTCCTTCCTTCCTTCCTTCCTTCCCTCGTTCTTTCTGTCTGTTTGTCTGTCTGTCTGTCTGCTTGTCTTTCTTTCTGTCTGTCTGTCTGTCTTTTCTTTCTTTCTTTATTTCTTTCTTTCTTTCTTTCTGTCTTTCTTTCTTTCTTTCTCTCTATGCATATATCTCTCTATACATATCTCTAATTGCCACCCTGGCATAGGAGAAGCAAAGTGATCAAAGTGGCTTCATGCAGGGGACAGGGTTCAAAAAGGCTTTTGGAGATTGAAGGAGGGCTGTAGATTGATGTAGAATTGGCTAAGAACAAATGTCGTACACACTGTATTGCGTGCAGATGTCCCGGAATAAAACTCACCAAGCACTCTTAGTTTCTTGGATGGGACCCAACATGTTCATTGACAAGAACCTGCTAACCTTGGGTGCCCGGAGACTCACCCTGACTAACCATCACTTTTTTAGACTCCTTTGCGGCCGTCTTAGCCGTCAGCTCCCAAGATGACCCGCCCGTGGCCAGCGCTCGCCGCGCTCCTTGTGACGGGCTCCTTGTCCACGCCATGCTTTCCTGACGCCGTGCCCGAAGGGGAGCTGCTCGGCAGCGGAGCCTGGAGGGGCCTGGCCTGGTGTGTGTTTTTCCCGGTCCGGTGTATCATGATGTCATTGTGTCAGGGCAGCTGTTCAAGGAGCTGTTGGTTTGGAATGATGTTTGGGAGAAGAACGAGGCAGACGAGTGAGTGGCAGTTTGTGCCTTGCGAGCTGCGGTGATGACTGTAGACATCATCGTCTACATGCCTTGAAATTCCACCAGAAGATATCAGAAGATTATATATTTATATAACATCCATTGCTGAAGACTGGACTTGGTGTTTAGTCAGTGTGGCAATGTTTTGGGGGCGGCGGAAGCTGGCTGCAATTTCACGGTTCTCCCATTTTGGAGCAGGAAGGACCCTTGAAAACAACTGACCAAAAAAGTGAACGAGTCAACGAGTCTGTTGCTACGAGTCGAGTTTAGATTTTTGTCTCAGCTGTAGGTTTACACCAGCGCTCGACCCTGTTGTAGAGCAACACTAGTAGAAATTCTTCCTGGCCATTCTGTAGGTCTAGGGTGTAAGCCCATTTTACTGGCAACAGATGTAACAGAAACAATCGGTAAACGATGATCACTATTTGTGAGACGTGCCTGGACCATCCTTAAACCGCCTCAACCATCATCCAGCGAAACCTGGTGGGATGATCTACCGACCCAATGTATATCTGCATTCTCGGCCCATCTCACCACCCTCTCAGGCGCAGAGAGTTGGTGAAGCAGGGTGACTGCGATCCGCGATTGGAGCGATGGGGGAAGCAGGAACACCACCTTAAATACATTTAAATACTAAAAGAACCATAAAGAACCTCTTTTCAGTGATGTTCAGAAAGTAGAGGCGACATGGTGAGGCGACATGGTGCAACGACGGAGGCGACATGGTGAACGACCAGTGCTGTGTCCTTGGGGCCCCATGTGTCTTTCTCCACGACCAGTTGCCTAGAGCGCCACCGAAGCCCCGTCCGGGTTCCAACCGCGTCTTTGAGCAAATCAGGTCTTCGCGGTTTGTGCGATTTGGATGACGATGATGACGGGACCTTCCCAGACAGGTCAGGAGAGACATAGGAACACACAGTAACGCACACACATAGGTTTCACCCCCAGTTGCAGGAGGAGATACTTTCCTTTAATTTGGTCGTGTCGGATCTTTACCGCGTTTGTTGTGTCGGAGTCCAACCACCTGTCGGACCGATGTCGTCCGAAATCTTTGCCCGTCAGTCGACCATCAGGTGAACACTACCCTGTGGGGCTCTTCATGATTGACTACACCGCGCAACATGCCACGGCAGAACTGGTGTTTATTTTGCTTCAGGTCCGGTACCGCTTGGCCACCGTTCGAGCAGGTGACGTGCCCGTTCGGTGCGTGAAAGTGGATTCAGTGGATGCAGTTGTGCTACTTCACCTTGCTGCTTTCAGTCGACCCCACCCATGTCATACCTTCCATCCCATCCCATCATCTCTCACGGTTGCATATGGTTGCATCCTTCCATTCCGACCATCGTCCTGTTCAGTGTCACAGAAGTCAGAAGTCCATCTCATTCTCTATGAATATGACAATCGTGCTCAGCAAAAGAAGTCTGAAACTCATTGCCGCCTACCAACACCTATGCTCTTGTTACATTTTGTTACACATCAGGAGAAGATGGGGGCATATCATACCTCATTGCGCCCACCCACACCTTCAGCACATCAGGAGAAGATGGGCTACAAGGTCCAAAAGATGCTCGATGGCTTCTTTGGCTCCGACACCTTCTTCGCCCTGGCCGGCTGCCGATCCCCCACAAATCTCTCCGATCGTGGCTGCGGCGTCGACGGCGAGATGACCACTCGAGCGCATGTGGCCGTGGAGGGATGGACGGAAGGAGAACTACGCAGAGGGCGACGCGTACGGACGGCGCGCGGCGAGACCGAGCGTGACACGAGAAACATCCAGAAATCAAGCTGGATGGCCTGCCAGATCCTGCCAGGTGATTTTTAGGAAGGCTGAAGAAGAGACATGGGGCGAAGATGTTCATGTTCTGGCTGGGGGGACGAGCTCCTCTCTCAAGCACTGCGCGCGCGAAAAGAACGTGGGCACAGAGAGATCTAGGCAGTTTCAGGTGCCATTGTGAGGTGTCGGCCATTACTTCGCAAATCACCTGCTTTCGCTGCTTCGTGTTTCGCACCCACCGACCCGTCCAAGGTCCTGAAAAGGTTTGGCCGCACGGACCAAGCCTCGGAGGAAGAACCTCTCCTCACCCACCATATGTGGAAGATTCCCCTAGGGATCCAAGCACCTTCTCAGAAGAGACTTGGACCCTCCAAACCTACAACAGTCGAACACATCACCTTCTGACAAAGTACGACTGGATCCCTAGGGTTCTTGGAGTTTGCCATTTGGTTCGTCAGGATATCTTCCAGTTTGGGAGCAACTTCAGCAAGACTACCCGTCCTCCGCCCCAAGGCTGGGTCGCGGGGTTGTCTTTCGCCCAGGGACCTCAGGACTGAGGGTCGAGGGTCAGATCGATATGTACTTGTTTATACTTTTTTCATGTTGATATCGTTTTTCAGTCTGGTGTCTCCAAAGTATGTCGCCAGTCTCCCTCTTCTGGGTGTGTCAAGAAGTGGTCAAAGACAGCAACATACAGCAACAAATCCAAGAGACTGGGGCGGTCGCTGGGTGCATGGTGCATGTGAATGAATTTTGTTATGAACAAGTTTAACGAGTACTTTGTTTCATAGGGACTGGAATTGTGATAAGCACAGTTGACAGAATCTTCCACCGTTTCGCCGGGACCGCGTTTGAGCAAGCTGTCCTTGGAAGTTCGAGGCACATCTCTGCCAACAACTTGGCGAAATCATTGGTTGCCTCAGTATCCAGCTTCCGTTTTCGCAAAAAAACAACATTATATATATATATATTTAGATACTTATTTAGATGTAAACATAGTCTGGTGGCGGCTAAAGTTCTGTGTCAGTTACACACTTTGTCCAGATACGACAGAGCAGGTGTGGTAAGGCAGCTGTGGAACCTGAAAGTCCATTTGCTTAAGCCTGGCAATCTATGGATTAGTTCAATGGATCATTGGCCGTGAATCACGAAAACTGTGCGTTTCCTGTAGATGTTCCCTGAAGGGAAAAACCACCAACATTGGGAACAGTTTGCTGCAGTGGTGGTGTGTTTCTAGTTCTACACTGATTGCACTTGGCATTTTCAAAAAAGTAACGAAAGGACCACAAATCATTTGAGAGACTATCATTCGAAGCATTGTGTCAAAAATTGTGTCAAGATTACTTCATGCAACATGAATATATTGTCCTTTTCTGGATCAGATCGGAGTACTTTCGCTTCTTTTCGTCCGCAGTTGGTGGTTTTTGCGCCAGCGCGCCAGGAACTTGGGAAATATGGGCTACCAGGGCGAAAGTTCTTCATTTGTCGCCCGGAGCGTCCAGGAGATACGTTGTCAAATCGATCATCTCGAGTCCTTCCGGAAAGAGGAAAGTTCCGCTGTTTGTAAAGGAAGGCTGTTTTCCAAAACCCTACGCCATGCGATGTGCTTCGTTCCATGTGATGTGTTTGTCAGAGTGTGCATGCTAGAGGATGGGCCAGGATTCCCCGGGGGAGGTTCTTCGAAGTTGGTGGGTCCGCAAGTGCTACACTACACTTTACTCTTCGTGAAACAATCATTCCCTAGGGATCCAAGTACCCTCTCAGAAGGTACTTGGACCCTCCAAACCTACATAACAGTGTCTCCAATCACCGTACCTGAGAAGGTACTTGGATCCCTAGGGATTGAAGTCGGAACCGTGGTCAATCCAAGGGGACGTGCCATCCGTCCACTTCCATGATGATTCCAGGGGGAGCAGATCGAATTCCTTTTGACTTGTGATTGACCAATCCGGATGCCCCTGCGGAAGGATAGGAACATAGACCACATCTCAGTTCAACTGTAATATGCTGTAACCATGCTCCATCCATTTGAGTTTCCTTTGCGCCTGGCCATTGGTGTGAAAGCTCTGAACTTCAGCAATTCACACTCTAGAAGTCCAACTATCTTGTGAAGTAACTAAAATGCCCTTTCAGTGATTCATGCCCTCTATATGAAGACAATTCGTGTCATATTTTTTGACTCCCAAGGCACATGTTTCAACATCTTTGAACATCACCCGTTGATGAGAGGATCAGCTTTGACTTGCATGTTTTTAAGCGGTTCGCCGATGGAGCTCCAGTGAGTGAACCTCCAGGAGAGGGCCTTCAATGCTGAGGGCATCTCTTTGGATTTCTACCGAGCCGCTGGGCATCAATCTTGTCGTCCAGTCGAATAGGATCGAATCTAGGAAGCCAGTTTCATTTCTGGGCGCGGCGTGGGCGTGCACATGTGTTGATATACACTCCCTGGAACTAACATGGAAGTGGAGCATGGCCCCTTAAGGAAGACCATTTTCCACTACAAACAGGTGGTTTTCCACTTCCATGTTAGTTTTCGGGAGTGCACGAAGCATCGTCGAATCGCGATATACCTCGTGGAGCCTTAAGTTCACCGCTCCGTCGCAATGGCCATGTAGTCATCCAGGGGTCGAGGACCATCCGTTGCTCGGATGTCCTGCTGTCGGCCCCCAGGCAACGACCATTCTCAGGAAGTACGGGCGTACTCACCTCCGTTCGACCATCCGGTTTGGATGCTCCTGGACCCTGGACGGGAGTGTCATCAAGGGTGATCCAGCACTCCCGAAAACACCAGTTCCCAGACACTGCATGGATGGAAGAGGATGCCTCCATGGGGATGGTTTCAGGGGTCAATGTAGTTCAATATGCCACTTCTTCGCTATGGATGTGTTTATACCTCGTCTTGATCCAAGGACAAGACTGGCCCCAAGTTTTTGGCGTTTTTGCGGGACGAAGGGCTCCATAGTTCAAAGGTAGAGCAATTCTCCCTGCACCTCCCTACATCTTAAGTTAAATTGGGTCTTTTTGCACGGGAGGTAGCTTAAGATTATCCACATGCGGCATGCGCGCCTGACTGCTCCCCTGCTCTTCCAGGATTATAATGTGTCCTGGACAGATTCGGCCAAGTATTTCTCGAGAGCCTGAGCTTTTCAAGTCTGAGACTTTGATTTTTTGTTGCTTTCAGAAGTTCGATGGCACAACCACCATTTACATCCATTTACTCTGAAGCCAGTTTGTTTTGATGATTCTCTCTTCCCTTGTTCAACCCCCACTTGGACCCCATGTTTTCATCGTTGGACATTCATCCGTCGTCTTCATCGTTCAGGACTGAATCGACGTCTCGACGAAGCCTCGTCACTGAGGACTTCAGGAGCTCAACCGATCCAAATTGCTTCCTTGCGAACAGACCTCCTTGATGAATGTTGAGTTGATGAAGGTCTATCGGGACCTCACCGGTGATCACGAAGGTGTCACACCTCTAGGCGCGGACTCCGAACAAGCTCGAACTCCGGACAACAACAACGACAACAAACAAACAAACAAACAAACAAGCAAGCAGGCAAACAAACAAACAAACAACAAAAAAACACAAGCTCATAAGGAGTTTTCGTGATATTTGAAGGATATTCCATCACTCCCGAATGATCTCCATTCATTCATGCAAATTCAGAATATTTATGGAATCTGAGGTTGAACAGTTGCAAAGCTTGATATTGAAGTGCCAAGACAAAAACGTATCCGACAGATCAGTGACATACAGTATCTCTCATGGGCTGAAACAGCAGCTGTTTTTGTTACAGAAAAATCTACGCCGCCGTGCTTTACTAAAATTACCCCCCCCAGAATCTTAATCAACCTGAACAACAGTAAACATAACAAAAGCTTGCAGTAAAAACGCCCAATCAGCGATTTCTCCCTTCCTGGCATCGCAGGTCCGTCGGCGACACGATGTTTCATCACGTACCGGACCATACCTAGATCTTCAGTCCGGACTCCGGCATTTTCCTAGATTTGGTCCGGCACTTTTCATCCCAAAGGAGGACCCAGATATGTAGTACAGTAGCACATCCCTCACAGCTACACCGATGTGCTGATTTGGTGTCCCTGAGGCAACGGGCAGGTGATCGGCCGATGCTTTGATGGCTACTTCTGGTACGCGCCCGTGTGCCGCACACAGGGCTCTTCCAAGTGTATCCCTTTCATCACCGGGGGCGCTGGCTGGGCCTTTCAGGAAACCTTTCAGAAGGCGACAGAGGGGAGCTGGGGGGAGCTGAGAGGAGCTATGAGGACGTGCGCTAGTGAAGAAATGGACGGAGCCCGAGCTTTTAGGAGGAAGAAAGCTCAAGATCAAACTAGAGTAACTGTATATTTTGAACACATCACAGGTGGGAGTGAATAGATAGTGCACGACTTGCGACCTATATGGTGTTCTTCAACATTCTTCAGCCCCAAAAAGCAACCCAAAAAGACATGTCAGTCTTCGCCCGTTGGCCGCGTTGCCGGATTCAGACCCGCAGGCGACCTTCCTTGGAATGCCATTGGCCTGGGCGGTTGGAAGCAACTGGGAAAGCTACAGCACACTGCCGATGGAGTTGACCACAATTTTCTATTGGTGGAAGCCAGACCCAACATTTCTCAGGCAGAAACTTTGCACTCAAATCAAGCTGAGTTGCGAATGGCTCTGGATTTTTCGTTATTTGGTTGTGGGGGGGCAGGTTCAATTTGGTCAAGTTTCGGAGTATGCTGTAGGTTTGGAAGGTTGCTCGATCATCATTAGAATGCTGCTCCATGCAACCATCTCCAGGATTATGTGCGTCAACACACCCCACATGTCTCCCGGACACCTTTGATATTTCCTTCGCACGCATTTGCCACACATCACCATACTTCATGGCATTCTCTAGGACGCTCTGGATGACAAAAGTTTGCTACACTCCGAGTCACTAACATGGACATGTAAAGCAACCTGTTTGTAGAAGAGAATGGTGATCCAAGGGACCATGCCATCCTCTTCCATGAGTGTTTCAGGGTGTGTATTGTATTTGCGGATTGTTTGACAAGAGTTCCAAGATATCCAATGTTCACCGATCAATGTCCAGTCATAGCCTCGTCACATGTCTCCACATGACAAGACCTCACGCAGCCTGGACCCCACCCCACCCCTGTCAGGCTGGATGCAAAGGCCTTGATTTTCCCACCATATGAGTCTCGGCCAGGTTAGGGTTCAAAACTCTGAAGAGTCGAAGAAAAACATGTTACATGGGGAAGAAAATAGTCGCGCACACACCAGGTGGAACAAGTCTATAGCAATGTAGAGTAGGGCCAGAACTGGCCAGAACATCCCAGAACGAGGCTTGGAAGTTTTGGAGTGTCGTAATGATTGTTCCGCCTCGGCACAGCCCACGATGGACAGCCTCCGATGCGCAAAACCTGTCGGTAAAAGACGAGTGGCCGCAAAGCTGAAGTGGTTGATAGTCCTCCAGTTCGTTGGTAGCAGTTCTTTAAGTGCTTAGATACTACTGTTGCTACGTATGTTGCAGGACCATGGCAGATGTTCCGTTGCTTCGGTCCTACCAGCCAACGCAGGTGCAAAAGGATCAGGCCATGCATTCGGTTGTGTACCATGCAGGTGGTTTCTCACTCAATGCAGGTCATACATCAGCAGTATTTCCTGAGGAAGTCCATGAACCCACTGGAGGTAGTTCCTGGAAGTGGAAAAGGGCAGGTTCTTTCATTCGGAAGATGGACATCCAAGGGGCCGTGCCATCCACTTCGACTACTTCAGTGTAACCCAAAGGGTTCCATGCAGGTCCTGACCAATTCGTCAAGCCAGGATCGTTTGCAGTGGGAGAAAGGCATTGCAAGATCTGCTGCCACCGAAATCTCCATTGACAAATACATCAGCCAGGAGCATGGAGCCCTCGGAGCCCTCTTACGGGTCGTGGGGAGACATAGAAATGGGCCGAGTCCCGCAAAGAAGGTGCTGGGCTGCGTCGGGGACGAAGCTTCTGCGTCAGGGAGCAACCACATGAAGTTGGCGGTGTACCGGTATGCATGGGACGATGATGTTTGGACGTTGGGGATCCCAACTGTCGGAGCCTCGTGGGATTTTGCCAGACACTCCATGGGACTGGAATATTTACATAGATTGTAGTGGTTTGAGGGGTCAATGCAGGAAATTATTCCATTGATTGTTTGGGTTTGTTCAAATACATGTGTGTGCCGTTCTTTATCGATCTTGTCAATGCGCAATCCCGTACTGGATGTTTCAGGGTTCTAGTGACTCTATAGTGTATCAAGCGCAAACAACGCGCGTGTTGAAGACGGACAGCAGCTCGCGGAAGGACTTAAGCACCCTGGCTCCGGACATTGAAGAATTTATGAAGGGCTTTATGGTGGACATCAAGGATGTGGACGAGATCATGTGCTTGCGATCAGCAGCATGTTTTCCTTTTGCCCTTCTTGTGATAGACATTGGCAATGGACGATAGCCCGCTAGTGGACAATGGCTTTGAGGTCGATTCTCCATGTCCATGCTACTAATGACGAAATAGAGTACCTACACCTACATAGTCTAGCCCAGCCCGTTTTACCATTTGGACGGTATAGGGTGATTTGTCACATTGATCATTCCTGAGCGTTGCCCAATGTTTCGGATCGGGTGGTCTACTGCGTGTTTGCACAGCTGCTTGCCTAGCTGCCAGAGGGAATTCCGTGTAGGTGGCATTGGGATCCGGAAGTTTCCTCGAGTACACCTCAACATGTACCGGGTACCGAGTCCTGAGCATTTGAGACTGCCCCAGATGCCCTAGGTTAGAGAAGCTTGAGTCTGGAAAGCCATATTCCGATGTTGCATGTCGCTGGCTGCATACCAACACTGAAAGGCGTGGACCTCAACCGGGCCAATTCCAGCTGAAAAGATATCATCGTCATCGTCATCATTCTTAGTATACTCCCTTAGTCTCTTTGGAGATCCTTTTGACAACAATGTGCAGACATGGAGAGACAAGCACTCAGGCATACTGACTATGTCATATACCGATAATCAGCTTATATATATATAATATATAGACTATAGAGAGACAGAGAGCTTTGTCACTCGCACCTGTGTGGCATCTCCTTTGTTTCCCGATCCGATCCGTTAGGTGGCGGAAGTGGCTGCCGGACAAGACCAAATGCTTTGCACGATATGGGCTCTACAATGAGAAAGTTGACACTTGGCCGTCAATGACACCAATCCTGAATTGGAGGTTGCTGAATTCGATGTTTTTCGCCAGATAGCTATGGGGTTCTTACTTCAAATAGCAATGAGCTGGCTGTGCGCGCTTTTGAGACAGGGTGCCGGTGCCGGGTGCTGGTGCTGGGTGCTGTGAGCTGGCTGTCCGTGGTGGAGACAGAGGGTGCTGGCAGTGCGCGTGGTGGAGACAGGGTGCCGGTGCCGGGTGCTGATGCTGGGTGCTGTGAACTGGCTGTGCGCGTGGTGGAGACAGGGTGCCGGGTGCTGGTGCTAGGGTGGTTACTGGGTGCCGAGTGCTGGGTGCCGGTGCTGGGTGCTGTGAGCTGGCTGTGCGCGTGGTGGAGAGGGTGCCGGGTGCTGGGTGCTTACTGGGTGCCGAGTGCTGGGTGCTGGTGCTGGCTTTGCACGTGGCGGACACAGGGTTCCGGTGCCGGGTTGCTGGTGCTCGTTGTGTGCGTGGTGGAGATTGGGTGCCGGTGCCGGGTGCTGGTGCTGGCTGTGCGCGTAGTGGAGACACGCCACGTTGTACTGAAACCTTGTTTCCAGTGTAAAATGTAAAAAAGGTTCCTGTGTGTGCTTTGGAGCTGCCAACGTAGGGTGCAGTTCAGAAAAAACTGTTGCATGCTTTTATATGCTTTTGCTATTTGGGTTCTATGCTGGTGTAATTGTGTTTTTTCTTGCTCGGTGTGGTGGTTTGGGCCCAACAGGCCGACCTTGCCAAGATCTAGTTGTCAAACATGTCAGACTTAGCACCTTGGTCAGTCCCGGGAGCTCTACCACAGGCCGGTCCCAAACCTTTTATCGCTCAAGCTGATTGATCCCGTCCGAAGGAAAGAAATTGAGAACCCTTTATTGTGAGGTGATGTTGGTCCGGCCATTTGAGTCCAGCTCCGCTGCTCCTCTCACGTGTTTCGGAGAAACATCTTCTTTGTTTTGCATTGTCCAAGGGCTTAGTTCATTTCATGTGCCCAGAAGGGAATCACGGATCATAACACAGAGCGCTTGCATTATAAACTTGCCACCGGTCAAAAGGCTAGCCTCCCAAAAGGTTGACGCGGTGTAGAACTACCAGGTTACCATGGGGTTGTTTTTTGTGAAAAAAAAGTGCTTTCGAGGCGAAGTTTGTGGAGAGCCGCACAAATCCGCAAGACCTCACTTGTCAGATTTGCCCTCCGGGTTCCTTCTCGGAACAGATGAAGGACCAGCGGGCGGAGGGACAGGCGGGAAGGTTAGATTTCGGAGATGCTCAGAGGCTGAGATTGAGGTCAGGTTTAGACTTGGGCCCTACCCCGAGTACAACTGATTTGTGATCCAGGATCTCGTGGAGAGCTGAGCAGGCAAGCACACACCAATGATCCGAATTGTTCAAAGATGCATATTATATCATATTATATAATATGGGTAGAGTGTTATTCTTCTTAGCTGGCAGCTCAGTTTTTATCACATGTGACGCTCTTTACATGCCGGTCTATCAATGCTTTCTTATGGAGGCTGGATAGGCTCTCACATATCATTTTGGGATGCTAGAGCTTCAGGACTTTGCAGGAAGATGCAGGATGCATGTCCTGTGCAGATGGTGAGAAAGGAACGGCCATCTTCGGCGAACGCCCCAGGATGCGAACGGCACGACCTTTATTTGCCGAGAATGCACTGCAGGGACCTTCCAGGCTTTGATCACTCAGTGGCCCATGGTTTGGTTGGTTGTAGTGGGTGTGAGAATGCCCGTGGACTGCAGTATGGTTCACCTTTCTATCCTTAAGAAGGGGGACAGAGAGAGACAGAGAGAGATTGGGCGTTCGCATGTTTTCACGAGTTGGACATGTGCTTACCGAAGCGAGGAACAAACGCCCGAAACTGCTGGCAGGTCTCTGGGGCATCCACTGAGTGCGATCCATGTCCTAAAGGGGAGTACCAGGACGAGACTGGCAGCAACTCTTGCAAAAGGTCTCTTTGGACTTGCAAGAGTAAGCACCTTTTTGGGGCTGTTCAAGTTGAAAAGTTCTGAGTTCAGTTCAAAACTTGTTTATCTCCAGGTGTTGCATGATATCTCAAGCATTATCAAGTATCGGTACACCATGGCCCATGGAGGCAAGGCAAATGGCCCATGGAACCGAAATCTCCCATGTTCCGCATGCTTTGTTTATGGGTCTTTGGTCGTGCTAGTGCATACTATGTTCTGAGTTCTTCACTTAGCTCGGCTGATTACCATTAGCAAGCCAAAGTAACAGGTGTATGTAAGTTAGATTAAATTATATAGTATATCATATGGCTTTGATGCTTTATAACTTGTGTCCCGCGTTCCATGGCTTTGTAGGGTGGACGTGTCTCCTACATCCTGTTTCAAATTGATTTGGCGCCTGCCATGGTCGTTGAGATCAGCGGCCGATCATGTTCCATTCCTCCCAAGGTGTGGCTTCGGCAAGTATCAAGACGCTCGTGGAGCAAGAAATTGCACCCAATGCCCCGCAGGCACCACAACCGTTGGGTGGCACGGTCGCAGATGACCTTTTTTGGGGGTGGGGCACCCCCGTTCAATTTCAGAATCCCTCTGGGTTGTGTCGGTGGATGTTGATATGTTCAATTGTTGTCACTGTTGACGTTTAGCCCACATTCCGGAAGACAGAACAGCAAGCGCTGTCGTACCTACAGAAGAACTGTGTCAGCAGAGTTGAAGAGATCCACAAAATTGGTGCGAGACTTCCCTACAAGAACCTACAAGAACTTCCTTAACCTTCCGAAAAATTACACCCGGGAAAATTTAACATGGAACCTGAAAATGGACCTTTGGAAGAATATTTTCCTTCACAAACCAGTGGCTTTCAGGTTCCATGTTTATCTTCCAGAGTGTATCTTCAAGAATTAAAGTTTATACCCCCTCTCACCTGTTGTGGGAGGTGAAGTGGTTTTCCTCGAGACAACAGTTTCTGACTGCTTTGTCCAATGTGCCTTGGAGTTCCACAATCCGGCCAAGATTGTTCGTTGGCAAGCCAGCCCACAAGCAAGCCAGGCTATCCCCAGAAATGCTTGCCGGAGTTCCGATCCTTTTCACAAACAATGACCAACATTCCTCCCATTCCGGGCCAAGTGCTTCTTTTGGACTCTCACTTTTCCAAACATCCGAGTCGATGAGCACATGTCCTTGCGGTCCTTGTAGGCTCAGCAAATTCTTCGAATCAGTCAGTTCATAGAGCTTTTTCGCCTGAGGTTTGGTTCCTTATCTCTGGACGATTGTGCATGCCTTGCCACCACCATCAACATCGTGTCGCAGAACTCCTCGAGGAACCAGAGTTGCTGGACTGGGACTGGGTTGGGCTGAACGTGGCGCATCCACATGAGATGTCCGCCATGCAGGGTCGTTGATTAGTTCAGCTGCTTGAGTTTTAGTTTATTACTGCTGTGAGGAAGTATACAATGTTGTACTCAACTGTTTAACACTCCTGAGTCCTTGGGGTTGGGGTTTGCCTCATTTTTGAAACGACCCTGAGCCTGAAGCAGCTGAAATCACTGCATCCTTTGTGTTCCACCAGCGCCGTTGAGCGACTCAGGTCCCTTCGAGTGTGTAGCTTGCAGCGAGGGTTTGCAGTGTCCATTCTCCTCGAGCCTTCAGAGCCTGCAGACGGGAGAGGCGACTTTAGGACCTCAATATGTTCCCCACGTCTTGGGAGGTTACTTCTCGGAGCCTTGGTGGTGGGTGGGTGGAACATTCTGTTGAATGCGTTGGATTGTTAACCGGTCCTGGGTCGAACGTCCTGTTCATGTTGGATGTTCTGCAACCGCTTCGCTTGATGTGGTAAGACCCCTGAGCGAACGTCCGAGTTTCGATGCTTGAGACAGCTGTTTTCGATGTTCGGTGATCGCTGGCCTGTGTTCGTCCGTGTTGCTGAGGATCCTGAAGAGCCCTTGATGATCTACAAATGCCGCTGGCTTGATTTTGATTTTGTTTGAACTCATCCACCTTAAAAGATGATCGAAGTTGCCAAGTTGGAGGGTATATCGGCATATTATATAAGTATTTGTTCATCCGGTCGTAGTCTCCCGCAAGGTGGATGCACGGGGAAGCGAAGCCGAGGCATTCAATGACACGTGGCATGTTCAAGGACTATGTTGTAACCACTGTTCATGCAAATTTATTGACAACCTGCCTGCATTTGGTAAGCTTAACCATATGCGCAGGTCCATGATCATTGCCGAAACACAGAATAAGGGCCTCCTGTCAAGTCAATTTGAACAGAATCTGCAGATGTTTGAAGTACTGCAGCCAAGGTAGGCCAGGCAAGCATTGTCCTGGTGGAAAGCCAGGGGAATGTTCCGGAGGCCGTGTGAACAAGCCCTGCGCCTCGTGTCCTCAAGGGCAGACGTGGAATGGCAAGCAGTGCAAGGCTTGCACTGCCTGGGCCACTGTTCTTTGGGCAAGCTGACTCAACTTTAGTCATTGCAGGCTTTTTTTGCTCTAATGTTCAGTTGCATAGAATCAAGGTGGACAATAGATTGACAACTCTTAGACTCTTAGCGCACAAAAAGAATGCAAATCGACCTGGGGTCCGCTGAGGGATGGCTGCGATTCATCACCATCGCTTTTGCTCCCTGAGCAGCTGCACACCAAGGTGACCGGTTTGCTGATCTCACTAGCTGTCCTCCTGAAAGCCTACGACTTTGTCGATTCCAAAGCCCGCGCTGAACCCTCCCCCTTCCAAGTGACTCGACTTCACTCCTCAGGAGTTTCTTGAGTCAAGAACTTGGTTCCCCCTTCCAGTCACAGTTCCGACTGGTTTGGGGTGTTTGGGTCACCGGTGTATCCGCTGGACAGTCCGCTGGACACGCATTGCGGTTCTCAGAGTATGTTCTCCCTTCCCAAATGGTGGTAAATGAATGAATCCTGGAAATGGTGGTAAGGCTAGTAGTAGAAGTCACTTTTTTGGAGGTTCCCAGACAATAGTGTAGATCAGTTGAACATCCCTACAGTAGACTAGTCCCTTCATGCGTGGGATATACATGAGCATGGGGTGCAGAGTTTTAATCCACTTGCAGTGACTGTTCATCATCCAACGCATCTACGGCCACAATGGGGCCGACATATTGTCCCATCCTGATAAGATTGATCGTCAGATAATATTGTTTGATAGTCTTCCAGATGTTCCAGTTCCAGAAACTAGGGGAAGGTCGTTTCTTTCCATCCCCCCCATCCCCATCCCTTTGGTCCCTTCTTTCTTCGCTCTCGTCACCGTGGCACCGTTTGCCACACACACACACAGGTGGGGAAGATCGCCTCGAGCATTGCCATCAATGTCGTCCAGAACATCGCGGTTTTCGGGCTGATGTCCGTGGACTGGACCAACACAGTGGCCAGCACCAGCAGGAGCCTGCGCTTCATTCTGCTGGATTTGGATCAACTGAGCCTGAGTGCCCGGGGACTTTTCAGAAGCCTTTTGAACTGTTTTGGGTCGGCACACCGCAGGACCCAAACGACTTTTTCAGAGCTGGAAAGCAGAGAGTTGGGGGTGTTTGGAAGATTGAATTGATGACTTTCCTCTACTAGACCGCCATGTAATGATGTAACTGGCTAGATATGACAGTTTTGGGCTTCACCCATAGTTCCTAGAAAAAAACACAACTTTGCCACACTTCAGTCACTTCAGTTAAGAGAATCGTACAGCCGCAGACTTGGGGTGGACAAGACATTACTGTATATATACTGGTTCTTCTTCAGGTTGCTTGATTGGCCACGGGAATCTCTTCCGCTTCGTGGTTAGTGGCCTTTTGCTCCCTGGAGCCACCCTGGTGCTGATCCTCCGCTGGGCGGCCATGCGCTTCAAGTCTCCCGGAGCGTGGACTCGCGCGGGGGCGGCTCAGACCAAAACTTGACCCGTACTTCATGTAGGCTCTTGGTTCAGCAAAACTCTGTCAAGAAGTTGTTCCAAATCGAACGGGTGATGCATCAAGAGTCTACATGACGCATCCTACGGCAGATCCATTGCTCCTTGCTCAGGAGGATAGGAGGTCGGCATGTTCATCCGATCTATGTTCCATGGTCGGAGGGAAGCACATTTGCAAATACCAGAATGTCAGTGCTGTTCTCTTGCCCATTGATCATCACCTACTTTTTCACAGATTCAGGATCCTACCTAGGTCCATCTAGGTCCGGTCCAACATTTCGACCAGTCGTTTCGTTTCGGGAATGGGCAGTGTGCGAACATGTGCACTGCCCATGATGCGAAGCAAACATGGTGACGGGTTCATGAACTCCCTTCCGAGGGGCGGGGGAGTGCCGGTGAGGTCAAAACGTATCGAGTGAAAATGATACTGAAAATGAGGGGAGGCAATCCAGGAGATCGCCCCCAACATGGTTATTTGCATGGACAGTCAACTCACCAAACCCAGCCTGAGCCTGCTGGGACTCCCACCAAACCCGAACCAAAAAAGAACGAACAAATGGTCAAAAAATGCTCCAAAGCTGCGCGAAAGGATGCCTTTTAAAAGCATGTTTGTTTTTCTTTCTTTCTGGTTTTCCGGGGTGGCCCCCTGTCTTGTTAGGTCTTGGAAGGCGCCAACTTGGCTTTCCAGAAGATTCAAACAAACCCATGGCACGCCGTGAGCCATCGACGGGTCAATCTGAGGTATCCCAAATGGTGGCCTCAATGCTTGAGAGCGCCTTCCCTCGCAGCAGAGAGTTGCACCCCCTGAAAGAATCATGGGATGCCATCAGACATGGCATGGCCCACTGGATGACCATGTTCTCATTTTCCTTACAGACTTGGAGTGTGGTTGGTTGGTTGTTCTTCCATGTTCTGGTTGGTTGCTTGCTTGCTTGCTTGGTTGGTTGGTTGGTTGGTTGAGAGTGTTTGTCCACTTCCATGTTCTTGACTCGGAGTGTGCTGCCTGTTTCACAACTTCTTCTGAGTACGACATAAGCAACAAAAAAACCCGATGTCATATTGATATGTTGTAAGAAATTCAAGTCCAAGCGCACGCACATATGCCTTGCACAGCCGTACTCGCCCTGACAGACCTGTTTGAACGGAGGCAAAAGTCTGGAAGTTCTTCAAGACGGTGAATACCATCGGGACTTTGTTGCAGGTGAGACTCTGTGTTTCTGTATATATAGTGCTTTAATGACAAGATGATGACAAGATCTAAATCCCAGTGTTCCTTGGGCATCCTTGGGGCACCCAAAAGGATCTGTCACTGAAACCGTTTCATGGATGTAGATTATATTTAGAATATTTCTGTTCGTGGTCTAATCGGGCCAAGTCGGCCGACTGTCGCAGGTGGGCTTCGCAATGCTCAGCGCCCTTTCGCTTCAACCCTTGATGTGCTATCGCCATCCCAATGGATTCTTTGAACCCAAATGGAGCGTGCGTGTGACACCGAACCCGTCGGCGCGTGTGACACCGCGGGATGAACGCTGCGTGCATCGACGTCCAGCACGGAGCGTGCGCGCAGACCTGAAGCATGTTTGGACGGTGCGACGGAGACATGTCGCAGGAGAGGGTCCACGGAGTATCCTGAGCCATATTGATCCATATTGATCCAAAGAGATATCCTTTGGAGGTTTGAGATCTCTTGGAATATGGAGCTTTTAGGATCCATATTGATCCACGATCTCTTAGAGGTTTGTCCATGGCTCATGACATCTCATGACGCATAACGAAAAAACCAGAAGAAGCATGCTGTTGGTTTTGCATGTTTTTGATTAGGTTCCGGGGTTCTGGCCAAATCTAAGGATCCCTGAGCCTTTTGAAGTATCCCAGCACCTTTTGCGGGGACAGTGAGCAGATCATCATGGTGGTCTTCGGGATGGTGCTTCGGCTGGGCAAGGGCCCTTTTGAGTGGGGCCTCATCGTGGAGAGGGATTGTTTTGGAATCACTTTAGTTCAAAAGTGGAACTGGAATCTGTAGATTAAGGCCCCTTGAGTTCTTCAGAAGAGACTAAAACGACCAGATTGGTTTCTGCCATGCAATCCCAGTCACCGATGCGATGTCGGGCGCGCAGCCCAGAAGAGTGGAACCAACTTAATTCTTGCTTCTTCATTTGTAGCGTCACTGCTTTCAACATCGTTCAACCATCATTGCGGAATGTCGATCATCACTCTTTGCCCAATCAGTCGATAGACCTTTAGCATCCTTTAAGCTTAACCTGAACCTTTAGAGGAATTGGCTTCCCAAACATGAGCCAGGTGGAAAGTTTTCTCATGTATTCTGTATTCACCTGTCGTTTGCCACAAATCATTGCGGTTCCATTTTGCGGTGGTCTTGCCTGATGTCGCACCTGGGGTTGGCCATTTGCCACTCCATTTGCCCCTTTTTTCCCACAAATCTTTGCCGCTGCTTCCATCAGGCCTTGATGGCCATCTTCGTTTGCGGTTTCTTTGTCACCTGCAGCTGGGCCATCTGGAAGCTTCCAGCCTGGAGTGGACAAAGCCGACACGAGATGGCGCGGGTTGGGAAGGAATGTTCTGAAGCACTGAAAGGTGGAGCTCTTGTTGCTGCGTGGGCCAACGCCATTGGCCAGATATTGCCAGTGCTACCTATATAGGGCTACATCCTACGGGGGATGTGCGTGTAAGAGTTGCAGGAGTCATCAGGGTTCCCTGTTAGGGTGTGTTTGGTTCAAGAGGTGCCGCCGATAGCCCTTAGGCCGCCTATATAGTATGTTGTTGTTGGTATTGTGTTCATTTGTGTTCCCATCCTTTTTCGACAGGTGCAAGCCTTTACGTTCTTGAGCAGCAAGTTCCGCCTGGACGTTTGGTACTTTGGTTTGCTTTTGCTCCTTGGCACTTCGGAGAGGTCCGAGCCAGACACATTTGAGTCGTCGAAAAGGAAGGGAGGTGATAGAGGAGGACCAACTCAGTTCTTCCTGACGCTCAGGCCATCTCTGACGCGCGAAGCAAGGATGATTTCGGAAGGCGAAGCCAACGCCTAACGCCTGAAGGCTTTGGATACAACATGATACAACACCCAGGTCCTTCCCTCCCTTCCTCAGTCCATTCATCCATCCTGAACTCTTACAATTCAATACTACCTCCCGCGCTCGAAATCCACGAGTGAGACGTGGAAAGAGCCTGTTGCCCCACCACAGATGAGGAAACACAAAGATGCAACAAAAGACATGCAAGGCTCAAAAGTCTTACAATTCAATACAATTCATACATATCCCTATAGTTCCCTACTGTATAGGGATCCAGTCGTGCCTTGTCAGAAGGTGATGTGTTCGACACTGTGATGTAGGTGCCATTGTGGGGTCCAGTCGTACCGAACCTGAGGTACCGCTACGAAAACGGATCCGGGTTTTTCAACCCTGTTGGCTCTGAAGGTCCATTTTCAGGTTTTATGTGAATCTTCCCGGGTGTACTTACAATTCAAGCAGAGTATACTATACACAATATTCATCCCTATAGAATCCATAGTATACCATACATGACAGTGATAGGAAGTTGGGTCATATTTTGGAGACAGGGGTCACTCAGGTTCTAGGTACATCATCGGCCGGCCGATCCATGGCCCCCAGGCTCATGCGCGACATGGGCCTCAGCGTCATCGTGGTGGCAGCGACGGACCGGCCCGAACTGCCACTGGGCGCGGACCGGGGGACCGAGAGCTGGGAGTCCAGCCCTAGGGGTCCAGGGGAACCGAACCTCGGTGTTCGACACTTAAACATGTAGGTGTTGAGGGTCCAAGTATACAGCGCAGTTGAGAAGGTATGACTGAATCCCTAGGGCAGGGATTTCCCCCCCCCCATGTTCGGTCGCGTCTTGTGTCAATAGATTGAATCCAAGCAGGCATGCGGCATGACCGTACTTCTTTGGGCGGATTGGTGGTGCAAAATAGGGGTCACACGGTCACTCAAGCAGCACTCGATCCTCCTGGACATAGTCCAGGGGCGGACATAGTTCCAGATGGCTCTGGGGAGCATCGTTCTGTGTTCGAAGATGAACCATGGACGTCAGTCGCGACGTCCAATCATCTCCTGAGGCAGGTGGCTTTGGGAAGTATCACGATTTTGCTCTACCAGTCTATCCTTCTGAGGGTTTGGCCCTGGAAGGCCTCAGTCCTCAACGTGGCTGATACCGCTTGCAGCCACTTAGAGACGACTGAGACTGGAGACGGGCGGGATGACTCAGAATCTAATAGGCCTAGAAAGCCAATAGTTGGTTGGAATCATTGGCTTAGTGATTATATAATGTAATGTGTCCGTGTGATTTCGTAACATTAAATAGTGATTAGTATAGACATGGTTTGCTCAAGTTGTAGCCGTTCTCGTGGAGATTTGTGGTTTGGATTGTGTTAGCTGGCATAGCATGTGACAGGTAGGTTTGGCAGATACTCCACGAGGTGCTGGGGCAGTGTCAAACCGCTTTGTGGGTACAATTGTTTGCTCTAGGATGCCTTCACTCCAAGTCATTAAAGATGGAAGTGGAAAACCACCTGTTTGTAGAGGAACATGTTCCAATATGTTCCCATGGACCAATTCCAGGGTTCTGAATGGGCAGCCCTTACAGCTCACAATTTGAGAAGGTTTGGGTCCAACCACTGCACTTGATAGATGCCTCGCCAGTCACCAAGGCATTTGCTTGCTGCTTTTGATCAGTCAATCTCTCCATGTCTCAGCGTCGGATGAAGACTTTGCCGAAACCTTTTCGGCGGTGATCCTTGGTGCTTTCGGCGGTCATCGTGGTGGTCTCGTCGACAAAACAGGGTGGGGGTTCGACCTACTTCGTCGCCCCATTTTCGTTCAGGCGACCTTTCGAGTGAACTGGGGAGAAGTCATGGGATGTGCAGGATTGGCTTTGGTAGGCCGGGAAGTTCATATATCTTTATCCAGGACTTCTACATTGGGGATAAGTGCCCTTAGCAACTCTGATGGGAACTCCTGTTTTGAAGGTTTCCAGGGACGACCTTCCAACCTCCAGCCTGCAGCTCCCACTTCAACCCGCAAAAGTCTTCAACAAATACTTTACTTCCAGTGATCCCCGCATATCCCCACGATGACATTTCAATCTGACAATTTTTCTGGCATCTATATCATCTATTGAAACATATTGAAACATTATATTGGCATTCTTTCTGGCATATCTTCTGACATCTTTTCTGGCATATTTTCTGACATTCTTTCTAGCATATCTTCTGACATTCCTTCTGGCATTTGTTCCGGCATATCTTCTGACATTCTTTCTGGCATCTCTTCTGAAACGCTTTCTGGCATATCTTTTGGCACTCTATCTGCTGTATTTTTTGACACCCTTTCTGACACAAATTCTTTTTGGCGTTCTATCTGGCATATCTTCGGACTCGCGGCCGAAGCTCGCGGATGAGGTCCGGCCGGGACACTGCCAGCCGAAGCTATTTGTTGAGGTCCGGCGTGGAACACTGCCATCCGACACTTGCGGTTGAGGTCCGGCGGGGAACGCTTGCGGTTGAGGAGGCGGAGGAGAAGGAGGACGAGGAGGAGTAAGGCAGCTGACATAAAGTCTAACAGCCCTCACCTGACAGGTGTGGAAATACTCGATTTCCTCAATATGGAAGAAGGTCAAGCATATATCAGAAGCCAGAAGAAACCTTACAGTGTCACATTGCAGTTCTAAGTCGAGGCCGTACTTCATGCCATCAAGCCTTGCTTTCACCATCTTTCGCCTGCTCTCAACCGTTGCCTCGGTACTGGCCGGTCCCCGGTGTGTCGAGTGGGAGTTGCAAAAGGACTTAAGGTCCAGCGTTTCTGGCTTGCTTTTCTTTTTGTTGGGGGTCCAGGTTTGTCAGTGCCGATCTGCTTTTCTATTGTAATTTTACACTTTTTTGTCAACCAATTGGACCCATGACCGTTGATCGGAATGATTCTTCACGCGCACTTCTCAGTAGTATAAAAATCAGTGCGTAGATCTGATACATCAGTGTATTGATGTGGTGACAGACCGCTGGTGCTTGCCCAGGATCATGGTGATTTTGGCTACCTTCTTGGGTCTCTTGGGGATCTTGTGCACCTCAGCTTTGGTCCTCTCCCGCTCCTCCTGCCCCTCCACAGGAGAGTATGGCTGAAGTTATGAGGGGGTATCATAGTTTTAACATGTTTTAACTACATACAACCACATACATGGCCCCAACAAGACACAGGAACTTTATGGATCTATCTTGTGATTTTTCAAGCCTCAGTTTGAGAGACAAGGAAGTGACAACAACATAACGGAAATTATATAATATTATATAGCCAATTTTAAACTATAATTCGCCGCGGTGTGGTAGTTAGTCTTATTTAGGTTAGGCAAATAGCACCCAAACCCAAACAAAACATTAGTGCAGCATCGTCACGTTCACGTGGTTTCTGATTATGATGCTATGTCACATTTAAAAAGGGACCTTCCCTGAACAATCCGCAATGATTTGGAATTAAGAACTCATGGCATAGACGGTTTTCAACCTTCAGCCAAGTGGTCATTTTCATAGCAATCTCATACTAGTTCCTTTTTCGTCCCCTCCTTGCGGACACCGAATTGCAGGACTGAAGTTGCTGCATTTGGGCGACCGAATTCAGGCTGCCAGGATTTCCACCGCCCTGCTTCTGGGCGAAGAGATGTCGCCGAGATCGCGTGGAGAAGGGGCGAACGCTGAGAGAAGGGGCGCCGGGTGGTCCTGTCATGTTCTTTCTGCCCCGGGGATCCACAGGCCGAACCTCAGAAGGTACGACTGGGCCCTCCAAGCCGGCATAAATAGTGTATAGTCTTCAATCACCTTCGCGGAAGTTATGTGGATCCATAGGGCTAGAGAACCAAACTTGGACAGAAATGGGCCGGTTTTGCTTGAAGCACCCCTGTAAAGACTTCGGGCCAAAAAGCACCTCCAATTGATGATGCGTTTTTGGGAAGGCGCGCCGATGCCTGACAAAAAGTAATTAAGTATAGAGGTTTCGGCATATTTCGGTCACACAGTCCCCGACCTATGCGGTGGGCACGTTTGAAAGTGTTGCTGAGGAAAGATTGTGCAAAGGGGCTCTTGGAGATTGAAGTTTCTCATTTGGACAAGACTCTCGAAGACATGAACACCTATGATTTAGAAGCTCTTGCTGCCACTATCACTTTGGTGTCCATGGAGCCTCAGCTGAAGCGCGTTCTGTGTAGTTTGATTAGCTGCACTCACGCAGTTGGCGGACCATGAACTCGACTGAACTGTGGGTGAGCTTCACAAGCATTCAACCAACAACATGATATCATATATCTCGCATGTTTGAGTGACCGTTGGGTGGACGCAGACTAGTGGACACTGTGTGCACAAACAGCGCACTATAGACAGTGCTCTAGATCCGAAGTTCACAATCCAATCAAAAACATGATTGAATCCTTGTATGTATATATATATATATCCCTACAGTTCCAATCACCTCCACCTCCGTGGTTTCGATGGTGGTTGGTGTAGGTCAACAGGGGGGTTCAACAACCTCCGTTTCGCGCCAGGAGCCCTGGGCCTAGGGGATGGTCGGAGCTTATTCTTTGGTCCGTTGGCAAGCCTGGACCGGACGGAGGGACCTTCCACTCTTCGGACGATGGTCAACACCGGATCGGTTGGCTTCGTTCGTAACGTCACAGACCGGATTCATGTGTACGTGCTTGTTCATTCCCTCAAGGTTCATCACCTGAAGGGGAAAATGCATACTTCAATCATCAATCGGTATGTGTTGGATGTTCCATTGTTACTTGTTCTTTTCTGCATACAACTATCCGTGAAATAATCTACTTGCGTGTGCCATGCATGTGTGGAAGCTCGAATGTGGCACCGTCAGGAAGTTTTGGCGGACACGCAGTACAACTTCAACGACCGAGTGGCCCTGCAGGTCAGGGTTCATCAGTTCATATTCAGTGCCTATAGTTGCCAATCAAGTGCTCTTAGGACGGAGCCACAGAGAGCTTCTTCACCACTTGCTGGTTCTTCTCCAGACCTTAAAATCAGACCCCGGTGCTTGCAGGCAGTCAGCCGCCGCACGCGCCTGACGCGCGTGAGCCAAGTCACTGCGGCGAAACGGTCGAAGCCTGGCGTGAGGCGCATGAGAGAGCAATACAGAGATATGCCATGAGCCACACCCAAAGCTGCGTTAATTGCTTTAGCATGTGCCATTGGATCCACATACCCTGCGATTGGAGACAATTCCGTGGTAGAGGTTCTTACCTCATAGCCACTTACTTGGTCATTTGGTGAAATGAGAGAAACTTGAGGAGTAGTGTGAAATAAGATCTATAGGTTGCAATTACTGTAAGGGTTGTAGAAAGTCAATTTCAATCTATTTCAGTATTTCGGCCTATCCTTTGAGAGTCCAACTATTTTATGTCATATCACTCATTTGTTGATGTTCTAGTTTTTCACTCTCTCTCTCTCTCTAGGTTTGGAAGCACCATGAATCACGTCTTCAGCCAAGTCCAGAAAGACCGGCTGAGGATGCGATTGTCGGTCAAAGACCAGCCCATGGACCCACATCAGGAGCCCCGAAAAGAGAGGGTACACGACCAGACTGGCATGTTTGAAAAACAAAAAAGATCAAACACATTGACCCCTGAGACATCCTGAAACCATCCTGAAACCATCCTTAATGTATATATATATATATAAATCTGTCAGTCTCATGGAGTGTTTGGGGTTTTGGAGGCAGGTCGACCTGGGAGACAGTTCAAGCATCAAGCCGTTTTTCACCCCATTCGTTGGCCCCCTTGTTGTTTTTTGCCGCACGTATTCCGTGTCCACTACTGACCTTGTGATATGATTTTGCATGCATATGTCGATGTATGGAAGTCTCATCATGAGTGATTGCCGGGGGGGTCAGGCAGCGAGCAAAGGCTCGAACGCAACGTCCAAGCCTTTGATCAAATGATATCAAAGAATATCAAAGACTTGACCTGGGTTGGTCCAACTGTTTTTTTCGTATATCTTTAGGACCCTGCTGACTATCATGAAACGTGGACAAACAATTTGTTTGGCGGGAAGAGAGGGCTCTTCCAGGGGGTTGACATGCTCTTCCGGGGGGTTGACATGCTCTTCCAGGGGATTGACATGCTCCTCCGGCGGGTTGACATGCTCTTCCAGGGAGTTGACATGCTCTTCCGGGGGGGTTTACATGCTCTTCCAGGGGGTTGTCTTCAGGATCTAGGGGAGAAATCAGATGTGCTTTGATGAAGACTTTGAGCGGACAAAACGCCAACTCTGCGAAGACGAAACACTCTTGGGGTGGTTTTGTGCGTCAATGTAGGCATATGGCATATTCTGGCATACATGGAGTGCAGTGTTTTCGTTTGTTCATCAGAGTGGTCCGGTCCCTTTGTAGAGACTCGGCAGCTCCACGAGAAATGCTCCGCTCCGCACAAACACATCACATGGTTTTGTGTGGTTCACCCCCTCTTCGTAAAGGAAAGTCGTCTTCCTTTCAGTGCCATGCCATCCACTTCCATGTGATGTGTTTGTCCAAGTGTTACTCACCAGTTCTGGGCCTCAAAACCTTCATACTCCAGACTTGGGCCTCCAACTCGCCCAACCCGCAGTCCCACTGGGCAAGACGGACAAACAGTACAAGCTACCACCCGGTAGTTCTTATGCTTTGGTCCCCTAGGGCTTCAACCACATCCTCAGAAGACAGACCCTAGACCTGGAGCCCCTACACCCGGTGTAGGAATCTTTGATCTTTGGGATCGTTGGGGGCCCTACAAATTGCTGAAATACTTGGTGATGAGACCCTCCACTGAGACCCTGCACTTGAGCCGAAGTTCGGGCCGTCGGCCCCTACTCTCTCGCCAGGAGGCTGAAGAGCACCGAGAGGAGCACCTGGAGGCGCGGCGGCTGACGCGCAGAATCCGCAGGCGTCCGAGGCATCACTGTCTTGGATGCTTCCTGTCGTGGTGCAAAAGACCACATGTACTATATCATATTATATTATTACAGCAGATGTTAAACGTGTATTATATCATAAGTATGTTTAGTATATACATATATATATATAGTATACAGTAATCTGTATATATATATATGTATGTGTGTAAAGTATATAGGTATATACATTAAGATGAATCCGTGCATAACTGTGCAAACAACATACAGTGCATGTACTTATCATCCAGGCATCCAGGAATGGCAGGGATGTCCTCACAAGCTTCTTTGGGATCCAACTAGTCCGGTCCAACTGGGAGGCTTGACAGCGATTGACGACCACAGGTTAACGGCACTCCCGAAAACTCACTTGGACCCTGAGAATGGCACCCAGAAAGGGAAGAAACATCTTGCATTTTCTTCTACAAACAGGGGGTGAACAGAGCAGTATGCATCGTCCTGCTTGTTGGACCTTTTTCCCACCAAAGCATGGGACCAGCGCGGGAGCTGGCTGGACACGTTGTTCTTTTGGGTTCGTATCTCGATGTTTGCCCCAGGGGGGTACAGCCCCACTCTCTTTCAGGGACTACGAGTGAAACCTGTGCGACCGGTCATGAGGGAATGACCCCTCACGAATTCCTCATTCTCTAGCGTCCTTGCTCCGTTCGTAGCGATGCCCTTTGCTCCGTTCGTAGATCCAGTAGCGTCCTTGCTCCTAGTCCTAGTAGTACGGCCAGGAGCCCCTAGTAGCTTCTTGTTCCTACGTAGAGCACCAGTCTGTTCTTTTTCTTCGGCCTTGTTTCGCACACTGCTGGTGTCGAGCGGATGACGCTGGTGAGGAAGACGCTGGTCAGCGGACGGAGGCTGCGAGCAAGACTCGTGTGAGGCTTTAGGGTCCGCTAATGGTTTCGCTCCTTATGGAGCGTTCAGCGTTCCGAAGTTCCAGGTATTTTGGAAGTGCCATCAAGTGCTATCAAGTGCCCAACATTTTAGTCCGTTTTTTTCATGTTTGGTTTTGTTTGAACAGGAGTCCCTAAGATGTTTTATCAACACCCCGGTCTATGAGCCATGAGGTGAGGAAAGATTCCATGGAGACCTGAAACCAAGTGTCGCGCTTCAGCGAGATGGGAATCCACGGAAATTGGACTTATGCGGAATTGGGGGATAATTTTGGATCAAATTGGCTTCATTCACTGATTTGGTCACTGTTCATTGGCTGCTGGTGGTTATTCTTTTTAGTGTAATGATGATTAATGATGTTTCTTGTGTTCACTTTTTCGCAGTTCTTCCCTCTCGATGCCCATGCCAACAGCACAGGGACAGGTGTCCCAAATCCCGCAGCAACCATGGATCCAACCACCTCAATTAGCACTCCTTTTTGCCCTCACGAGAGCGGTGGGGTTCCGTAGCGAGAGTGTCATAATCGAATGGCTTAGGGGTGGTATATGTTCATGTATGTTCGATTCGATTCTTTAGCGTTGGGAATCAAATGGCTTGGTGATGGCTTAGTATTGAATGGCTTGGGGCCTGGCTTAGGGATGGTATGTCCACTGCCATTGTACATCACTGCGCGCTATTTGTGTTCGATTCAATTTGGGTCAGCTACTCGATCAAGTCCATACCCGACTGCACCGTGAGATCTGTACGTAATAAGGGGAGGTGAGATGCAAAGATCCATGGCCATCCTGTGATATCCTGTGCATGGGTGAATTTGTGAATGAAAAACACACACACACATATATATATATATATATTAGCTAGAAGGAAAGATAGCGTCGACCGATAGCGTTACGTGTCGGCTACGCAGTGGTGCGGCTCCAAAGAAGGGTTTGGGGCCAGGGTGCGCGCCATGGACCATGGGGCACTTCCGCCGGCAGTGCGGATTTTGCTCCACGAAGGCTGGCAGCTCTCGACGGTGGCGTTCTTCCACCGCATGCCGGATGAAGAGATCCGGTCAATGCTGCCGGTCATGGCGCGAGCATGGACTCCAGGTGAGATGGACGGCTTGCGGCACGAGGCGAAGCGCCAGAAGCGGTTGATGGACATCGAGGACGGCGCCTTCTACCACCACCAGAAGTTGCTGTACAAGGACGCATCCATGGTGGAGAAGACCATCGGCAACCTGGCTTCAACGGTTTCGGAGGTTGGCACTTCGCTGGTGCTCGCCAGAAAGACGATGCCCAGGGTGACATGGAAGTCCCACCTGCAGAAAGCCTTGGCCAATGCACCAGACGACCAACACCGGGCCAAGGCAGAGGAGAAAGAACGTCAGCGGTGGATTGGCGAGCTCATGAAGTTGCTCGAGGAGGCTGGCTTCTTGGACAGCGTTGCGAGGGATCCTGAGGCCACGAAACAGTTGGCTTTGAGGGTGGCGGCAGGCAGGAGGGCATCGACGTTGAGACAACATGTCAAGTATGGTAGAAGGGTTCAGGTCTACATGGTGTCCATCTACGGCACCGCATGGCTCAGGTCGCCAGGTGATTTCATAGGGTACGTGGCCCTACTTCTCGAAGAACCTTGCGGTCGTAGTGTGCCAGGGTCTTTGTTCAAGTGTGTGGCATTTCTCGAAGCCGCAGCCGAGGTGTCCCCCGAGGAGCGACTGTCCAACGCGCAGTCCATTCACAACTACCTCAAGGAGATCGAGCAGGGCATGACCTGGAAGGCACGGCAGAGGAACAAGGCAGCTCGCATTCCGGTGGAGGTTGTCAGAGCTTGGGAAGTCGGGGTCCTCGACGTGACCCTCCAGTCCTTCAAGAGGGTCTTCTGCTTGTATAAGTTAATTAAACTTTGGGGGGGGGCTTCGCTCGCATGACAGCCAAGGAGTCCCTCCCTCCACGATGGAGTTTGATCCCTTGGCGGGCCTCCAGGGGGAGATCTTGAGGGCCAAAACAACGGGGGTTGGCCGCCGAGTAGAAGTGGTCCAGTTCCACGTGGCCGCCGATGCTTGGCCAGTGCACAAGGACTGGTTGAAGGTGGGCCTCCAGCTGTTCATGACCATGAACAAGGACATCGCCATGGAGAAGAGGGATTTCATGATGTGAGCCCAACGAGAGCTTGAGGGGGTTCCGCAAAGGCATGCTCTCCTACCCGGAGGCGATGTGCTATTCAAGGGCTCTCCACACGGAGCTCTACTCAATTCGACTGGATGAGGACGGTCAGCCACAGAGATTGATGATCCCTGAGGCCACCTCGTATTGGTCCGAGCACTCGGAGCGGGTGACGATCATGTCATGTGCATGATTGCTGAGGTGCCTCGTGAGACGCGGAGGCGCTGGGGCCGTTGGTCACCAGGTGTGGATGAAGAGTATGCGGTGACATCCAAGCGGATGGTGATGCAGGCTCAAGCACGGGTGGCGGAGAAGATCAAGGCGCAGTACTGCATCACGGACTACACGGATGACAAGTCGGTCCTCAACAACTTTGCCCTATGGCTTCAGGCGGTGCATGGGAGGACTCCCACTCAGGCACACAAGGAGATCATGAAGATCGCTCCTCCGACTTGGGGAGGAATGGGTAACGGGCCATTTCACGTGTTGTCCAAGCCGATCAGGAAAAAGGCGGAGAGCTCAGAGGCACTCGAAGTCGTGGAGTCCCTGATGAAGGTGTTCAGTGATGACGAGTTGATGGATGACCCCGCACCTGAGGAGCGGTATAACCTGGGCACATACATCCTGTCGGTGGTGGGCAAGACGAAGAGGAGGACCTTGCATGTGATTGGCGGTTGCTATCGTGTCCCGGGCGTCCACTATATACCGGGACTATGTGGTGGTGGGGATGGAGAGGCCGGAGATCCTCCCGGATAAGGGTGAGCGCTTATGCTCCACATGCTTCACGAAGAAGGATAGCATCGCGGAGGCCCTTCAGCAGGGCGGAGACGGCGAGCACTCGTCGGGTTCTGAGTCCTCCTCAAGCGAGGACGTGTCGGACGAAGACGCCTGACCATCGAGGTCGCGTCAGAAATGTGGCTTGGTGTTTGGGGGGGCCTGGAGGGCATCCTGGGAGTGTTTTCTCGGTCGGGTCTTTCCCCCCTTTTCTTCTCGGGTTTTCGTGTCGGTGGCTCGCTCGGTTGGTGGTCCTTTCGATGTGTGGTAATTTGTGGGCTCTCAGGAAGGGAGCCGGTGGTGGGCAGGAAGCCCTGCCCTGGAGGGGCGCGCCTCGGAGGGGCGTTGGCTGCCGCAATGGCTGGTCTGTCTCAGGAGGAGAAGATCGCGTCTTTACAGCCCGACTTCCAGGGCTTGCTGGATGCAAGAGGGGTTGATGCCACCATGCAGGCGGCATTGTTTGACGCGGGGGTTCCCTCGATCGCGATGCTCTCTGCAGTCGCGACAGATCGGGATTCGCTACTGGAGGTAGCAAGATCGGAGCTGGGAGTCGATATCGGCGCAAGGCCGAGGGATGCGATCAAATTCGCAGCGCTCTACTTGAGCTGGCAATCGGCGGTGAAACGCCGGGTGGCGATGGATGAGCTGGATGCAGACGCCACGGCCCACAAGCAGCCGAAGTCGGTCCCAAAAGTGGAGATGCAATTGTATAGGGCCGAATTTGAGAAGAGGTTTTTCAGGTTGAAGGACGCGGAGTGCCCTGGCAAGCCCAGCTTCGAGGATGTTTGTGAACAGCTTGACAACGGGGAGTTCAGGCCCATGGCCTTGAGGCACTTCGGGTCCAGGATGGAGGAGGATGACGCGGAGACGGGCAGCTTGCACCTTGGGAAGGCAGGTCAGGTTAAGATTAAGAAGGCCAGGGTTGAGACGGCCAATCCAGCCAACATGGAGGAGTTCCGGGCGAAGGTGAACTTGATGATCAACCACTTGATCTTTGCACGGTTCAGGTACCCTCATAAAGCGTCACTGGACGAACTAACGCCGTTCACGGCCATTGAGTACTTGAACTACATTTGCAGCAAGAACGTGGCGCAACTTGAGTCTTTGGTGGTGGATGACGTGGCATTGCATCGTCCCTCGCTCAAGTTGATCATGAGCTATGAGGTCCAAATGCGTAAGGAGGCGGTGGAACAGGTCAACAAAGGTGACACTTGGGTGGTTGCCCTCAAATCGGTGGTCAAGAATGCGGACATAAGGGAGCGCTACTTCAGCACTCCCCTGCCGGTGACCTCAGCTATGCAGTCGATTAAGGAAGATTCTTGGAACAGGCAACGCAAATGGCAAGAGCGCCAGCACCCCTACGCGGAGCAGCAGAAGGGCAAGATCAAGGGCAAAACCAAAGGCAAGAAGGGGGCGAAGGGCAAGTCGAAGGGCAAGGGATCGCAGCAGCTCTACGCCTCTACGCCGGACGGGCGACAGCTTTGCTTTGCTTGGAACAACAAGGCGGAGGGCTGTGCAGGCTCCTGTGGTCGTGTCCATGCTTGCCGCGTTTGCCTTGATCCTGGGCACCCGATGCACGAGCATGTCAACGACAACAAGGACTCGTGACTAGGGCTGAGCCAGGCGGACAGACAAGTGAACCCATGCATGAACCCACTGAATTCAAAGTCCTTTATTCGTTCGCAGGGCCTAGCAGGCCGAGTGGCATTCCCGAAACTTTGGAGAAGCTCGCCAACTCTGCCGACCGCCCAGTGAAGGTGACTGTCGACGCCTTCGACGTGTTGAGGGATGCCAAGCATGACCTCTTGGACGAAGGCCTGCAGAAGCTTTTGTTAGATCGTATAGCCAAAGGCTACTATGATGCAGTTTTGATGAGCCCGCCTTGCGGGACATGGTCCAGGGCCCCTTGGGCAAACAACCACGGACCACGACCCCTTCACCCATTTGGTTTCCCCTGGTTGGAATCTTGGAGGCGGACAAAGGTGGATCGAAGTAACTCTATGATTGAACTTTGCTTGCAATGCATCACCTTGTGTTTGAAACACGGCCTCCTCTTCCTCATCGAACACCCTGAAGACTTGGGAGCTACCTCACGATACGGCCCGAACGCTCGGCCGGCCAGCATCTGGCAATTGCTCCCTATCAAAGAGTGGGTCAAACACTCACAAGCTTTGTCCGGCGCCCTCTTCCAGTGTCGCT